TATATTTCTCATAGCTACCTAAATAAGATATTTCTGTTCCTGATTTTATATCAATATCACATTATTATGTTAATAATATACAATGCTAACATATGTACTTGAAAAATATCATCCATTGACCTTCTTTATCATACAACTCCTGTTTACTGAATTCAGTTGAAGAAAGAGAAGTTGTTATCCTCTTGCCTAAACTGCTATGTAGCTTAGACAACAGATTCAAACCCTTAACCATTCTTCCCTGACCAATTTGCAAAACTTGACAATCCCCTGAAAGTCTCAAAGGAAGTGGAGATGGAGGCAAGACTAGTGGTAGCAAATTTCACACTGGGGAACATTTTCCCTCTCTGTATTAAATCCTTACATTAACTTCAATTCTCGGCTTAAATCCTTCTGTCTCAGAATAAAAGTGAAATCATTCCAATGGCCTTCAAGACCCTAAGGACTCTGCCTCCACCTACCTTCCTGACCTCAACCCTTACAAATTTCCCTCCTCACTCCCTGCCCGCTACACATGCATCCTGCCACCCCTCATTTGTCTGAAAATGAGGGTCTAAGGCCAAAGTAACACATCACAGAGATATCCAATTCTGTTAGTGTTGGATAATCTAGGTCCAAATGATAATAATTGAGCCTTGAAATGAGAATTGTGAGAAAATTATTTATAAAAAGTGTTCAAAGTAAAGTATAAATCACAGTAAGAAGATTAAATCAGAATTTTGCTGAAACCAACATTTGTCTCAAATTATAATTTCATGAAAAATAGATGCCTTTAAAGTGCTGAGCAGGTCTTTAGATCACATAATTGGAGACCAAAATATTTTCAAATTCAATTCAAACTGACATGAGTAAAAATAAAGCTATATCAACTGTTATCTAAAATAACTAAAAAAAAAAAAATTAGTAAAGTCTCCTGAAAGAAAAGTTCTATGAGATGCAGCCTCTACATTTTAGTTCATCTGGAAAATCTGGAGTTGACTGTCAAGGTAATACACTTACTTGACTATTAATTCCAAAATATTCATTTTAGGTATTGAGCACTTTTACCTAGCTGCCTCATCATAGTACAAAATTGGGGTTTAAAGATTCATATTTTTATTTTAGCAGTATGACTAAGTTATTAATATCAGTCTGTACCTATTGACAACTTATTTTTGCCCTTTTAAAATTTCATAGGTGACTCTACGTCTTTACATAGTGTAATGCACCTCTCAGGCCTAATTTTTATTTACTGGACACAATAGATGGTTCTAAGCTGACAAAGCAAATATGATTAGAATCTATATATTTCTCACATTCACTAGATTCAATCTTTAGCCCTAACCAATTATTACTTTGAGTTTTCCTTCAGGAAGCTTGAAAAATAACTTTCTGAATAGAATACTTACTTCTCTTGCTGCTTTCTTCTTTTCATAATTATATATTCTTTTTTTAAAACAATTACATTCATCAATTAACTCATCGTTTGTTTCGTTTTGTTTCTCATTTCAGTTCGAAGCCTTCTTATAGTGTCCTGAAACTGGCCTCGCATATTCATTACTGTCTCCTCTTTATTGTCAGCTTTGTTGCGAGCCTCATTCAGGTGCTGTTGAAGCAACATGTTTTCCCTCTGTAGTTGAGATAATGTCTCCTCTAAATGTAGCTTCTCCTCTCTTGTCTCTTGGAAATGATGTTCTAGGTCTCTCTCGGACTTGTGACTTTGACCACGATCTTGTACATCAGCATCCAGTCTACGACGGCAGGATTCAACTTCTGCTTTCAGCGTTTCTGATTTTTGTTTTTCATGTTCCAGTTGAGTGCTCAGCGAGTTATTTTCACTCTTTAGAACAAGAAGTTGTTCACAATATTGGGATATTGTATTTGCAAGTCTTCCTCACTCCGTCGTATTGTTTTTCGCAGAAAATCATTCATTTCTTTTATAATTTCAATGGTCTTTTCTTTTTCCTGTTTTGATTTTTCATTGTTTTTATTTCCAGTTTCAGCATACTGATTTCATCCTGCAAAGTGTGGCTTTTATGTACTCGATCATTCTCTCTTTCATTACTCTCAGAAGCCTAAGTAAAATACAGATTTTGTTAGCAGTCAATGAAATTACAATTTCTCTGAAATTAAAAAGCAAATGATATGCTTATAAATGTAAAGATAGCAACTGAGCCTATCCAACAAAAAATCAGTTGGACATCAGAATTTACATAAGCATAACTGCCCCAAAGTTCAGGAATTACCTGAAGACTTAGTCCACAACGATAAAAAGGAAACATGAGAAAATTAAGAATCTCAGAATGGGAAAGAGACTAGCTATGAATTACATCAAATGCAGAAGGCATAAAAGATTAGTGTGTATATCTTTGGACTGATTAATTTTCCTGAAAGTTTTCTTTTTCCCTGGGCTTCCATTTTATTGTACTTTTCTAGCATTTTTAAGGTCAGTTATAAGGATTCAATCTATTGTTAACTGGTAAACCCAGGCATGGTAGTATGCCTGAAGTTCTAAGCTACACATATGAATGAACTCATTTAGATGTCAACTCAGGAAGGGAGAAGTTAAAAATACAGGCAAACTACAGGATTTCCCCAGGTCTTCTGACTCTACTAGCGCTAGTGTACCAAACTGCATCTACTTCCTTGGAGTAAATATATTGATACAAAAGAAGTCTTCTGTTTCAAAGCACTAAAGGTAAATAAGGTGAAATTTATATGCTCTCTTTAAAAATCATGAGATTATTCCCTGGTGCAATTAGTTTTAGTTCTTCAAAATGTTTAAAATAGTAATAAATGTGAAATAGAAAACCACTGCAGAATTTGTGGAAATAACATAATTATTGATAAATTGTCACTGAGTATATATTATGGCATATCATTTCTAAAACTCCTTATATGGACATAGTTGCTATTAAAGAGAAAAAAAAAGTTACTTTCTCAAAACTAGAAAACATACATCCAAAGTATTGTGTCTGACAATACTTCTGATGAACATAGATGCAAAAATTCCCAATAAAAATCTTAGCAAACTGTATAGGGAGGATTGAACACAGGAGCCCCATGGCACCTAAATGCCATAAGGCATGCTGGTTTCGGGGCTCTCTCAGCATGCCTCAGCATGCTGCCAGATGGGGGCAGCCCTTTCCCCACTCTATACCTCATCCATGCTCCCTCAGCCCCCAGCCTGGCAGGCCCCAACTGCAGTGGCAATGGTGGTTTCCTTGCTCTACCCCTCACCAGCTGGTCCTGGGGCTCTGGCAGTGAGGCTCGCCCAGGCCCAGAGTGAGCTGGAGGGAAAGAGGCCTACAGACTGTGCACATGGCCATCACGGCAGGCTCTGAGCAGTGGCCAGCTCTCCAACAGCTCAGACTCATCAAACAGTTCTTCTGCAGAGCCACATGCATGACCTCACCAGCCCACTGAAGCATGCTAACTCATCAAACCTCCAGCCCCACTAAAGCTGGTTCTGCAGAGCCACCACCAATGAGAGCTTGTCAGGTCTGGACAAGCAGCCACAGTTGCACTTTTTGAATATGACACATTGAGGTGGACCAATCATGTAAGCTCTGAATGGACCAATCTTACCAATTCCATTCCAGGATTTTTTGAGCCCATTGAAGATTCTAAATGGGCCAATCAGGTGGGGTTTGAAAGGTGGGGACCCTGCACAACAACTGACTTGATGCACTGAGCAGATCCATTCATCAGACCCTTCACAGACAGATTTATCGGACTTCAAGACTTCCACAGACCTTCACAGAGAACTCCACAGCTCTCTGTAGAATGTTGCAGGGACCACTGATACCTCCATAGTCTTCAACACTTTCAAGACCTCTGCAGACTGTGAGAACACCACAGATCTTAGCTTCAATCTGCAGTCTTGTAACTGGATCCTTGAAGCCCTCAGAGGCTTCAGGGCAAGGTGATTGTGTTGGGGTAACTTGTGGGGGCTTCAGCCCACTGCCCGGATGGTACCCTCCCAGACCCCAGTTAGGCTAGCTCTGGCCATGCCTCTCTGGAAACAACAAGCCCACGAGCCTGACCTGACCTGAGTGCAGATCAGACTGGACTTTTCCCCCTTCAGTTTCAGGCTCTAGGAGTCAAAATTGAACCAATCAGGTGTGAGCAAAATGGACCAGTCAGGAGGAGTTAAGAAGACCAATCAAGTTCCAGTCTACTTCATTATTATTCAGATTGAAAAATGAAAAATGAGCTGATTAGTGATAATGGTCCAATCATAGGATTGAAAATGGCCTAATCAGGCTTATACGGTGGAGGCCCTGAAGGGGATACAAGGCAGAACAAGAGCCAGCTTGAGGCAGAGGCAGCAGCGGTCTGTGGAGGTCTATGGATGTGTGGAGGTCTAAAGTCTACAAGGTTTACATTCTACAGAGGTCTGGTGAGTCCCATGGAGATGGACTGCTTGATGCATCTCTCTCTTCAGAGTCTGGGAGCAGAATCTTTCTTCTTCAAAAATGGTTTGATGAAAGCTTTCTCTTCAACAGCAGTATGAATCCTTCTTCTGAAGCTTGCAGCAGAATGCTTCTTCAGAGGTGGTTCAATGATTCCTTCACTCTTCAGAGGATGGCTGCACACTGACTCCAGCTGGCTCTTGCTCTGCCTGGTATCTCCTTCGAGGCCCCCCTCAACAAGCCTGATTGGACCATTGTCAATCGTAAGCATCTGACTAGAATGTTTGCAACCTGAACAACAGACATCAAATTAATGGGATATTGTAACTAGTTTTGATTAAAGTGTTAGAAATATTAAAAGTTTGCCAAGAGGAACTTGCCTTCATTAAATCACTTCTTAGAGCTCTCAGTTCCACAGCTACTGATGACAGTGTGGACTCCAGCTGCTGCTTCACTTGAACGCCACTCCTGTAGTGCTCTTCTTCGCTTCGCAGCCGATCCCTAAGTGTTCCGATATAAAGTCAGCATATTAAAGGTATGTATGACTTTAGGAAGTATTTCAGAGAGAAAAAATTTGAAATGATACAGTACCGTTAGGGTTAAGGTAACCTTTTTGCTCCACATAGTTATTGGTACTCTCTTTGAATAGTTTAGTTACAAATTTAAAAGGAAAGTTTTTGTTTTTTAAACAAGCTTACAAACACACTAGAACAAAATTTCAACTTCACAAAATATTACAGCTACTACTACAAATGATTTACAGTGTAAGACAGCATCTTCAGATTTCTTGCACACAATATCCATTTGTAGATCACTATAATCCAAGACTAGATGAGTGAGTCTGTTAAGTGTTGCTCTACTCTTTTTGTGTTTCTTCTTTTGCACTTTCCACTGAGCTTGTTGATCACTAGGTATTTAGAAATCATTTTCATACTCCTTTTGGAACAAGACAACCCATATTCACTAAGTATAATAAAAGTAATATGTGCTTTTAGCACAGACCTTGAAATAATTTGATATAGTAGGAGAGAATTGTTGAATACATTATTCAGTAATCACTTTCCACTTTTCTTTTTATTCCATGCATAGGTTAAGAATAAAACTGCATAATTTTTTTGTTTGTGGTAATTTTATTTTTATTTATTAATCTTTTTACTTTTTAACATTATTGATTATCTTTAGAGAATATTTGATTTCCCTGATCATATGTAGTCTCCATAAATCTCACCACCACATCGCCCATGAACCATACATTTTAAAGACATCTGTCTTCAGAAAAGTTGCCATTTCATGTGTGTTGTTGGAAATGGAAATTCATATGAACTCTCGTGAAAACAATTTAGAAATATAGATCAGAGACATTTTAGCATTGCTGCACTTCAGCCAAATACTATACTAAAGATTTTTTTTCTTCAGTATACAGATTGATACAAAAGGAAATCCTTGCAGCAATAGTTACAATACAGTATTCCATATGGTATACTTCTATAGGGTCATTGAAAGTATGATTTGGAAGACTATACAGTAAATTATTAGCAAAAGTATTCACTATCAAAAACTTGCTATACTACTTCCAAGAATTTTATATTCCACAGCACTAATAAAGAAGGTTTCTACTCTGAAAATCCTAGAAGGCGTTAGCAATTACAAAACTTCTCTTATGTATTTGTATTTTTAACGAAATAGTTGAAATATCTCTTTAAAACCACAAAGCTCAATACCTCAAATTGCACCAGCAGTATTCTTGTTTCAAATTTTGCTGCTTTAGCTGTGAGTTTATGTCTTTTGTTTCTAATATCTCCTTTTTTAGTGCACAATTCTCAGCTTTATTTTTCTATATTTTTCCTTAAGTAGTTCACAGTGATTATTTTTAATTTCACATAATCTTTTATGTGGACAAATTAAGTCTTGGGATTTTGATACGTTTGATATTAGTAAAACTGAATCAGGGAGAAAACACAAGAGAAAAACAAATATATAAGTACTTTTTTTGCATATAAAGGGTGGTACATTTTCTCAATCACTCATCCATACCTTAAACAGATACATACTGGGTATCTAAAAAGTAGAAAAAAATATACTAAACTCTGTAGATAGAACAGATGGGAACACTGGGGTATTTAGCTTAAGGGACAGGTAAAGTTTAGCGTAAAGTCTAAATTCATACAGATACTACAAGAAAACAAAATTCTATGCTCACATGACAATACCTGATCTAGATTAGGCCCAGGGAAGAGGTCCCTGAGGAACAGACTGTTGCCCTGAGGAATGAAGGAGGAGCAGGAAGCAAAGGAGAAAGAAAGCCACTCTAGGTAGGGGACATCATGTGCTGAAGTTTTATTGCAATCTGCTTCTAGCCAAGAGGAAGTAACAGGTACCAATTTACCTTCCTACCTGAAACAAGCAAAAGCAAAATAGAAAAAAAATACAATAAAAAAATAATGATTTTCAAGACAAAGAACATCAAGTAATAAAGACAATGCCCCAACAGCTCACTAGCTTAAGATAATTTCCAGATCATGACACAGGGGAAGGTACTAAGGTGAAGTCTACCAGATACTCTTAGGTGAGGTGATGAAATTGGGAGTCTGGTGAAACCAAGAATATGATAGAGATCACAGGTCAGATCACTGAAGAGAAAAGAGCAGAATCAAGAAAGAGCCCTGAAGATCTACAGAGGGCCTTCTAGAGTATTCAAGAGAGTAACTGGCGGTAAATTCATATGAAGAAGCCACCTGAGACTGTGGAGAAGAAAAAACTGAAAAGAATAAACTCCACCGGATTAGTGGTGCTTCCTTTAACTAGTTTGGAAAAATTCATAATTAACAGGATAATGAATAGAGCAGTGAAAGGTCTTGCCTTGGTATTGGGAAATAATTAGCCTTCGGCATTCACCCAACAGATAAAAAGAGCAAGACCATGAAGGATCAAACTGTTTATAAGTCACTTAACTAAAAAATAATAAGAATAATAACAAAAAATAGAAGAGTAGAGTCATGGAAGCTATTTTTTTCCTCAAATAAATAGCACTTGTAGAAATGAAAAATATAATCTCAGAGATGACAAATATACTGGTTGGGAATAAACATATTATACATCACACACATACACACACAAAAGACTAGTAAGGATGACCTTGGTGAACTGTGAGAAAATTTTAAATGGCCATGATACAATTCTCCAAAGAGTTAGGGGAAAGGAAAAAAATATTTTGAAAAAAATGACCACAAACTTCTAAACTTAATGAAAACTATAGTTCCACAGGCCCAGGTAGTATCTGTGTAGGACATGAGAAAAGTAAACTGCTGTAATTTTGTCATACTATATATGATATTGTATAGTATTACTTGAATGTGGTAAGTTAGTCATATGCTATAAATGCTACAACCACCACTAAAAGAGTGAAACAAAGGAGTTATAGCTAATTATCTAATATAAAGAAATAAAGTAAGTCATACAAATCACTTGATATTCTAGAAGGAAACAAAAAGGGGAACAAAGAGCAGGTGAGGCAAAACAGAAATCAATCAGCATGATAACAGATTAAACCTCACTGTATATATTGACAATTACTTTAAAAGAAAATGATATGAAAACTTCAATGAAAGGCATATGATCAAACTGAATCAAAAAGCAAGTCCAACTAAATGTCACCTACAAGAAATGCACGTTGAAAATAAAGGCACACATTAGTTAAAACATGGAAAAAAATACATACACTAATCCCTGACAAAAAAAGGAAGCTGAGCTGATGTCGTTATGCTAATAGCAGACAAAGCAGTTTTCAGAGCACAGACTATAATCAGCAATCAACCAGATAATTTCATAACAGAAGGGTTAATTTATAGGAAGGATAATAATCCTCTACGTTTATGAACTTAACACTAGCTACAGAATGCATGAAGCAAGCATCCTTTTATGATAGTAACTCTAACCAAAATGGGGATGGAGGAATCTACCTCAATATAATAAAGGCTATATATCACAAACTAACAACCAACATTATATTCAATGGTGAAAAACTGATAACTTTTCCATTATGGGAACAAAGCAAGATGCCTACTGTCGCCCCTTCTTTTTAACTTAGTACTAGAGGTTTTGGTCAGAAATATCAGACAAAATCAAGAAACAAAGGGGGTTCAAGTTGGAAAGAAGTGAAACTATCACTACTTACAGATGATATATTATATTTAGAAAATCCCAAAGACTCTATCAAAAAGTTCTTAGAAACAATAAATGAATATAGCAAAGTAGCAAGTTCAAATCAACATACAAAAATGGATAGTGATTTAATATGCAGATATTATCAAAACAGCCATCCTACCAAAAGCAATTTACAGATTCAATGCTATTCCAAAAAAAAATTCAATGACATTCTTCAAAGAAATAGAACAAATATTGATGAAATTCATATGGAGCCACCAAAAACCCAGAATAGCCAAAGGTCTCCTGGGAAAAAAAAAAAGGGGGGATGGTGGTATCACACTCCCATACTTCAAGCTATACTACAAAGCCATAATAATCAAAACTGCATGGTATTGGAACCAGAACAGACACACAGACCAATGGAACCAAATAGAAAATTCAAAAATAAACCAACAGATTTACAGTCAACTAATCTTTGACAAAGGAGCAAAGAATATGCAATGGAACAAAGAAAGATTATTCAATAAATGGTGCTGGGAATACTGGGTCACTACATGCAAAAGAATGAAGCTTGAATACTACCTCATGCCATGCACAAAAACCAACTCAAAATGGATTAAAGAGCTAGACATAAGACCTGAGACTATAAAATAAATAGAATGAAATATAGGTAAAAAACTACATGACATTTACCTCAGTAACATCTTTAAACACACATCACCCAAAGCAGTGATAGTGAAGGCAAAGATAAACAGCTGGGACTACATCAAATTAAAGAGCTTCTGTATAGCAAAAGAGACAGTAACCAAGACAAAGAGACACCCCACTAACTGGGAGAAAATTTTTGCATACAACACTAATAATAAAGGACTGATCAGAAAAATCTACAAAGCACTGATGAGACTCAACAAAAACAAAGTAAACAACCAAGTCAAAACATGGGCAGAAGAGCTAAAAAGAAACTTCTCCAAAGAAGAAATGCAAATGGCCAGGCATATGAAAAATTGTTCAACATCACTTGTAATCAGGGAAATGCAAATCAAAACTACAATGAGATACCATCTCACACCAGTGAGAATGGCATATATTAAAAAAAACTAGCAACAACAAATGTTGGCAAGGATGTGGAGAAAAAGGAACACTCCTCCACTGCTGGTGGGCATGCAAAATGGTCCAACCACTATGGAGAGCTGCGTGGAGATTCCTCAATCTGCTAAGATGGAGATTCCATATGATCCAGCAATTCCACTACTAAGATATGTTCTCAAAAGACACAGAAACATTAATTCAAAAGGGCACCTGCACCCGTACGTTTATAGCAGCACTATTTAGAATAGCTAAGCTATGGAAACAACCCAAATGCCCAAAAATAGATGACTGGATCAAGAAGCTGTGGTACATATACATAATGGAATATTACTTAGCAATCAAAAAGATAAACTCATGTAATTTTCAGTAACATGGATGGAGCAGGAAGGGATCATGCTCAGCAAAATAAGCCAGAAAGAAAAAGAAAGATACCAGGTGGTCTCACTCATAGCAATAATTTAGAAAACCTAAATAAGGGATCAGGAAAAAGACTAATTACAATAAAGTAAAAATCAAAATCAACAAGCAACTATAAAGCAGAGGCACACTACAGGAGGGGGAGAAAGGAGTAGGATCAAAACAAGTGTGCTGGGAATTGCACGGGGAGTATAACCAAGATGAAAATGCATAATTGTACAAAAATGAAAAATGGTGTAAAAATATACAAAAGTAAAAAAACAAAAATTAAAATAAATATAAAAAGAAAAAAAAATAAATGATTCATTTATCTAATTTATCTTTCTCCTTTTCTCTGACTGCCCTTCTTTCCCCTTCCTTGCTTCCTTATTTCTTTGCTGTTCTTTCTCTAGTCTTTTTGAAGTTTCCTTCTATCATTTGTTGCTATCACAAAACAGCTATGTCTTGGACTTAAAGCCTGTTTGTTGTTGACTTACTAAAAATGTTATATTATTAAATATAATTTAGATTATTAAAAAAAAAGACAATGTTAAGAAAATGAAAAGGCAAGTCACAGACTGGAAGAAAATACTTGTAAAACCAGAGCTGATCTAGAAACTTTCCAGAGGTAGAACGTCAGGGAAAACAGATCTCAAGATATTTCAGTATTCCAGGAGGGAAATAATGGTAATCTGACTTCAAGGAAAGGCCTAGGAGAGAGGATAGTCAACAAAAAGTACCATGGGGATTCTCATAGATCTTTGGCTGGAAGTAAACAATAGCTCTCATTTCATCTCAATATAAACATATTTCTGAGATGAATAACATGAGAACAGATCTGTGCTCTATAGTGCAGTACTAGACAAAGTGTGCATGTGACACTACAGTATATGTATTAAGAATTTATAATTAAACAATGCTCCTACCTTTATAATTCATGCCAAGTTGTTCCATTAACAACACACAATTCTCATGTTCAGAGTAAAGCGAGTCACAACCCGTTGAAGCTATTTTGGATGTCTGAGTTATGTCATCAGAATCATCTGTAGGATTGATTTCCTGTTTGACATACAAATAAAAAATATTTCAAAATGTCTGGTAACTATTGGAAAATATGTTAAGTGTACAGAGGTGATAAATATTCACCTTTTTATAATAGCAAAAACATAGGTACTCCTTAAAGGAACTGACGTTTATGAAAAGGATACCTTCATAAGTTATTATAATTTATAAATTATTTTTAAAGTAAACATTTTTATAATGAAGTAAGACTTTCTATTTTTTCCTTATATCTTTTAAAACGTATTTTTACTACAGAATAATTTTTGTCCTTATTTATTTTTTACTATACCTTCTTCTCTTTAGATGTTTTCTTTACAGGCCTATAAAAAGAAAAGATATATTTTCAGGCAAATAGTAAATAGCCAAATATAAAGAATATCAAAACCTATTGTTTTTATATAAAATCTTCTAACCCATACATTCCTAAAAAGGGATTAAACACTAAGTAAATAGAGTAACATTAAAGACCAAAGATGTAGTGTAATATTAACAAATTAATAAATTACTTCAAATTAACAATCAAAAGACAAAAAGGAAAATCAATGGTATTTACATGATTTCATAGGAAACATATTCTCGGGTTTTTTGTGGTGGTCATTTTCAATAAAAAACAATCTTTCACTGGTACTAAAACCTAATTGAGAAGTATTGTTCAAGTCCTTATATGGAAGGAGACCTTTTTAAATCATCATGGTGGTGGTATGTATGGTAACATAATTCTGAAGAGATATGAACCTATCACCTAAAATATAGACAGGGTTGTAAATGAGATGCTACAATAAAAAAAAAAAATCGCTCATCCTCATCTATCGCATTTCAGGAGTATCTTTCAGATAAAGTTCATTTTCTCTTGCCTCAGTAAGTATGCCAGATTATGCTGTTTTATTTTCAGTAAAAAGTAATCACTGCTAATATTCCTTTGTCAAGACAGGAAGAATTTATAGATTTTACCTTCCAACATCCTGATTGTTTTCATGTCTCCTGCTGTCACCTTGCTCTGGAAATACTACACCAGCTGTCTCATGTGTTACTGTCCGAGGTTCTGTTGGCATATTCATTTCATAGGTGCTTTTCTTTCTCTTTTTTCTAGTCAAGCCAGGAATTCTATTTAAAAAGCCATAAGAAACTGTTTTAGAGGAAATCTATTGTAAACATTAAAAAAAAAGGAAAAATTCCAAAACTTATCTAACCTACTTCATTTATTGACTCGGAAAGCCAGGATGAAGTAACAACCATAAGCAAGAAAACATACTCCTTGCTTCACTAACAAAAGTCCCTGACCAAGGAACTGGCTAACTAACAAAACAAGCCCTAGAAATTTGACCACAGAATTGAGGCTAAAAGAGGGGAAGGAGAGGAGGAGGTGACAAAGTAACAGGGATGAGAATCCAGCAGTCTAGGATAAAGCACTCTGGGTGCTTTGGCGGTGGGAGTCGTGTGGTAACATCCACCTGATGAGGTGGGAACCTGTCCCCTAAATCATACACAGGCTTGTCAACCAATGTTCCTTCAGTGAAGTCACCCAAAGCTGACTGGTCCTCATTGTTACCTCTCAGCAGTATTTGTCTGACAAGTGTAAGATTTTTCTTGTGTTAGCCTATAAGCTACATCATACAGTTTGTTTCCGGAAGAGTAATCACTGCTAATATTCCTTTACCTATACAGGAAGAAATTATACACATTGCTTCCATTATTCTGTCTTGATTCATGTCTTCTGCTGTCACCAGTCACTGAATGCAAAGCACCAGACTTCCTGCTTACTTTAGGCACAGATACTGCTGAATTACATGTTTCATTTTTGCTCTTCTTTACTCCATTTTTATGCAAGCCAGGAACATTACTTTTAAAAAAGAAACAAAATAAAGCTAATGTTTTTAAAAAAACACTTAGGATGATTTAAAACACAACTTTTGTAAAATAAAAATAAAATGGGAAGGGTTGAAGAGACACAGGAAAAACAAAAATGGAAGAACAAACATATTACAAAACGTAAAATACTGGAACAGAAGTCAGCACAGTAATTTTGAAAACTCCTAAATGCTAAATTTAAAACCCAGAGTTCACTGACTCAAAGTAATGACACACAGATGTGGAAATACTAATGAGCCATATACGATGTAAATGGAAAATTACTATTAGAAACATACAATATGAATGAAGGAAATCCAGGAAATATGCTGGGCTGGGGTGAAAATGCCTATATGTTGGTTTGACTTCAGGTTCATGATCAAATAAGTCACAATTTTCAGGCCCCCTTCTAAGAACAACAATTTGGTGTCACCCATGTACAAAACATAATGCCTTTCTGAGAGCTGAGTCCTCCAGTCCCATACACCAAGAGATCTTAGAGGGGTGGCAGCTTCGTTGCAGTGTGTACAGGCTCACAGACCAGTCTCAGCAGTGGACCCTGCAGAGCCCAAGACTTGGCTCCACACACTCTTAAGCTGCATCCAGGAACAGCTGGAAAACCCTGCCTTCAGCAATCATTCCAGATGGGGCAGCAATCATTGAACTGCAGACCTTAATTTCCATTCTCCCCAAAGCCTATTTAGAGGAACAGGTGGTTGTGTTCAAAAACACCATGTCACACAGCATACATTTCTCCTACCATGGGGAACAATACAAACATCGTAAGTTAATTTTACACACTGACGGTTCATAATTCTGTGGCAAGAATTTTTTAACTCCTATAATTTACTAGTTGCTTCTTTAAGTGATAGCATATAAATAGTTTTTCTACTCATCAGATCCATTTGACCTTATATAAAATACCATAAATACCAGTAAAAGGTTTAAAAGTGAGGAAATATACGACTGAGCTTAAACCCCACAATGCAGAACATGCATAGAGCAAATACTGCATATTGCAGAGAGCCAAAGGAATCCCAAAGAGCATATAATTGACAAGTAGACTTTCACCAGTGACCCACACAAAACTGTTTAGTCTAAGTGAGAATTAGTATAAAATGTAAAATGAAACACACAGGTTAAACTCCATTCACTCAGTGAGCCTTCAGGGGATAATATTCCAGCCCAGTTTGGGCACTGAAATAATAGCAGAGATCAGACAAAATCCTACCCTTGAAAATGAAGTAAACAGACGATGAACTTGATGTCAAAACATATATCCTGCTAGAGTATAGAGTATACTATAGTAGAGGAAAGGAAATTTGGAGGTTTGTAAGCAGGTGAGGCATAAGAATAAGACTCAAAATGGCCAACCCCTCAGATATTGCTGAGAAAGTATTTTATGAAGGAATGAAAGGAGCAAGCATAAGGAAGATAAATCATTCCAGTTAGAATCAACAGCAAGTACAGGGGTATGTCTTCAGGGTGACAGAATGTTGAAAAGGTCAACGTGGTTGGAGCAGAATGGAAGGGACAGAATATGGAAATTTGAAATTCTTATGTTTTAAGATTTATTTATGCATACAATAACTGGGGTGCAGGCCAGAGGTGTTGGGGGTGGTGAGAGGATTCACCAGAGGTAGAGTGGGGAACAGAAGAGGTAGACTGACTGAAATACACTGCGGAGGGGAGCAGCGGGTAGGACAGGAGAGGTCTGCTGTGCCATATGGGTCACCTCCCTGGCTGGCCAGGGATCAAAATCATGCTGCAGAGGCTGTGGATAGCTTCACAGTATTTTGCTCAACCCCTTGTGCCACCAGGAAGGCCCCCTAGAATATGGAATTTCAAGAGACAGTGAGAGACAGAGACTGCAGGGAGACACAGAAACTGATCTAAGAGGAACAGAAAGTGTAGGGACTGGTTTGTATTTGAAGAACATTGGCATGTACTCTGACTGAAGAGGGAGTCAAAACAGAGGAACAGCATAATGTTTGCTATGTCAAAATAGGCCACTGATTTTATTTTATTTTATTTTTATGGTTATTTATATATTTATTTATTTTTTTTAATTAATAAATTTTATTTTTATATTCCCCATACAATTGCAAGCCCCCCATTCTGACCCCAATCCCTCCCCTCCCGCACCCCAACCCCCAAAAAGTGTCTCTGGTTCATAGTTTTTTGTTGATTTTGATTTTCACTTTCTTATAGTTATTCATTTTCCTGGTCTCTTAATTAAGTTTTCTAGATTCCTGCTATGAGTGAGACCATCGGTATTTTTCTTTTTCTTTTTGGCGTATTTCGCTGAGCATGATCCCTTGCAGCGCCATCCATGTTGCTGCAAATTGCATGTGTTTATCTTTTTTGAATGCTGAGTAATGTTCCATGGTGTATATGTACCACATCTTCTTGATCCAGTCATCTATTTTTGGGCACTTGGGCTGTTTCCAAAGCTTAGCTATTGTAAATAGTGCTGCTATAAACATAGGGGTGCAGGTGTTCTTTGGAATTGATGTTTCTGTGTCCTTTGGGTAAATACCTAGGAGTGGAATTGCTGGATCCTGTGGAAGCTCTATGTTTAGTAGGTCCAGAAATCTCCACACAGCTCTCCATCGTGGTTGGACCAGTCTGCACTCCCACCAACAGTGCAGAAGAGTTCCTTTTTCTCCACAACCTCGCCAACATTTGTTGTTGCTAGTTTTTTTAATATGTGCCATTCTCACTGGTGTAAGATGGTATCTCATGGTAGTTTTGATTTGCATTTCCCTGATTGCAAGTGATGTTGAACATTTTTTCATATGCCTGTTGGCCATTTGCATTTCCTCTTCAGAGAAGTTTCTTTTTAGCTCTTCTGCCCATTTTTTGACTGGATTATTTTCTTTGTTGTTGTTGAGTCTCATCAGCTCTTTGCAGATTTTTGTGATCAGTCCTTTATCATTAGTGTTGTGTGCAAAAATGTTCTCCCAGTTGGTGGGGTTTCTCTTTGTTTTTGTTATTGTCTCTTTTGCTGTGCAGAAGGTCTTTAATTTGATGTAGTCCCAGCTGTTGATCTTTTAGGCCAGCTACTAAGAAACCAAATAAAAGTTTCGGACACTAGTAAAGAGAGCAGATGATTTGGGATTCAACATGTAACAGGATATTGACTTCTGGATATATTTGTCAGGCAAACCTGACAAGATTGACCATCAGATTCGATGTCAGGAGCAAAAGAAAGAGAAAGATAACAACCAAAGTGACACCCAACACATTGACAGAACAAGAGATGCCACTAAAGAACTAATACTCTGCAAGAGTGAAGACATGAACAGAAGAACTGGTGTGAGAAACAATATCAGTAATTCAAGTGGAGAAAAGGGAAACTTGCATAATAACAACCATCCATCAAAAAGAATGATATCCAGCAAGGGATTTGATTTCAGTAATCAAGAAAAAAGATCTGAAGTGGAAATATAATTTTGGAATCATTAATAAATACAAGGAAATAAAAGTCATGTGACAGGGGCCTCCCTGGTGGCGCAGCGGTTGAGCACTGGGTTATGAAGCTGCCTGCGGCCTCTGCGGCGCCAGTTCAATCCCTGGCTGCTCCCCGGCCACCGGAGGAGGGTCCCACATGGCACGTAGACCTCTCCTGCGGCCCGCTGCTCCCCTCAGCAGTGTCCTTCAGTCCTTCTGCCTGCTCTGCTCCCCACTCTGGCTCTGGTGAATTCTCTTACCCTCCTGCACTTCTGACTGTACCCAGTGCATGTATAAACAAAACAAACAAACAAACAAACAAATAAATAAATAAAACATGCCTCTAAAAAAAAAAAAAAGTCATGTGACAGAGGATCAGGACTGAATCCTGGGATTTTTATTTTATACAAAAGGAGGGTGGAGTTGAAGAGCTAGGAAACACAGACTGAGGTAGAAGAAAAGGAAATACATCAGGGACACAGGTAAGTGAGTTCTCCCTCTGAAAATACCAGACTTGTAATTAAATGAAAGCAATGTTGCAGTAAAGAGATTTCCATTAAGGCAAATATAGCCAATCAGTCTAAACCAGTATGTGCGGAAACAGTGATGTGAAATATTGGCGGTAATCTTTAAAAAGCAACTTTGAAGGAGGGATGGGTAAGAAATTTACTGGAGCAAATTCAAAGTGAAAATAAGGAGGAGGATGGATGGTGTTTTAGGACTTAGCTAAGAAGTATGACAGTGGAGGATCATGTTCTCTTCTTGTTTTACTGTAGATTCCAACACCCAATAGTGATTATTCAGGACTTTTTATTAACTAAAATTTTTCTTAATTACCTCAATGTGGTAATAATTGGTAAACATGGCAGACCAATTCAAAATATTTATAAAATTAAGAAAGCAAGGTTTTTGAAATGTTTCCATTCATGGAAATGAATCTATTCATTGAATCTTTCATAAAAACAAAGTATTTAATGTAAAATTAAATATAACAATTTACACAATATAACTAAACAAAAGACATTGAAAAACAATGTTCCCTCAATGAAATAAGAAAATGTCAACCGACCTCCTTATTCCGCTTTTAGCAGTATTTGTCCAAAAAGGTTGAGCCTTCTCGTACCTTGCCTAGCACACTATACCATGCTGCTTGATTTCCAAACAAACAATCACTGCCAATAATCCTTTAAAATTAGAGGGAGAATTATGGATTTTACCTTCTGGCATTCTCATCTGAGTCATATCTCCTGACATCTACATTCACTGGAAGTTCAGCACCAGCCTGCTCGCTGACTTGACCCACATAATCTGGTGAAGACCATGGATCAGTTTGGCTTTCCTTTGCTACATTCTTCTGCAAGTCAGGATCCGTACTTTAAAAAACAAACCATGAAAGCTAATGTTCATTAAGAAATCTTCTGATAAAGACTAACAAAACATCTTTTATAAATACCACAACTTAGTCATTGATTCATTTTTGAAATATTTATGAAGAAGTAAAAATGAAAAGCAAGGAAACAAACCCCATGCTGCAAAGTCAGATATGCAATCATGATACTATCTGATAGCTAAGAGCACATATATGGCATGCTGAAAGTGAGCACAATGGAGGCTTTGCAGAGGAGGTAAGAAGACACAGAGGGAAGAAAACCATTCCACATGGAGGTTACAACATGCATACAAAGATAAGGCACATCACAACTATGTGTTCCCAAAAACTTGAAAGTGTAAGATCAAAACACTGAGAGATGAGTGACCCAGAAATTCTGATAGATCTTGAAAGCTACACAAGTAGTCTAAGTTCACTGCCAAATACTACTGACTCTAGGCAAGAATGTACTAATAAGATGTGTCATGTGATATTGGCCTTTTGTAATGCAATAATGTGCAACTGATTGAAAAATTTTGGGTTGTTGGAAAAGTCATGACATATTTTTTCTGTGTTTTTCAAGCAAAAATGTATCATGACTTATCCAAGAGTCCAACAGCATGAAACAGGTATAATGGAAAAATTCTAAGAAATATCTCATGGGTGAGAATAGATTAACTTTTAAAACAACCATCTGTTGGAAAGACATCAGGGTCCTGACCAAATAAGTTTTACTTTATCAGGTCCCCACCAAGAAACACAATTTGGCATCACACATAGAAAAAAAAAAATAGGCCTTTCTAATATCTGTGGGTTCGAGTACCAACACCAAGGGATCTAAGAGGAGACTTAGGTGCAGTGTATAAGGTGAGGAATTAAGACAAGAGGTCTAAAGAATAATGAAAATTTGGGAGGTCATTAGCATATATAAAAAGTGGCAGTCATGAGACAAAAGATCAAAGCCAATTTTGGGATACTTCAATCCCTAAAATAGGAAGTGGGATTGAAGAAATTGGACAAACATATTGAGGTGGAAGAATGAGAAGTGCACAGCAGACACCTAGTAATGAGTTCTCCCCCTTAAAAAAGAGTCCTGGAGTTAAATGAAGATATGATGTTGGAGGAGAGAGATTTCCACTGAAGAAAATATAGCCCATCAGTGTAAAAAGTATGTGTGGATAAAATGAACACTTGGTGGTGACTGATCAAAGGCAGTTTGGAAGAGCGGTAAGTGGAGAAATTAAAAGTGCAAGTTCAAGAGTGAATATAAAAGAGGAACTAGGGGATGGGCAAACAGTTCTGTATGACTCATAAGCTTAGTACTATGACTGTGGAGGATCCCATTTTCTTCTTTGACTGTAGTTTGCAATACCCAATCATGATTATTTACTATTTTTGTATTGCAATGCTTTTTTTAGTCACATCCATTTACACTCAAAGGTCAACTAAATGGCAAACAATTCAAAGCATTCATATAATACCTGCAAATAACAGCAAAGGTCTCTGGAATGTGTCTATTTATTGAATTGATTCTATTCATTGAATTTATGAATAGAAAACTGAGAAATTTATTGCAATAAGCTTTTCCACAAATAACCAAAATAGGAATTGGAAACACTACCAAAACATACACTGGAAATATAACTGGAGAATTAAATCTATTTGAAGGTAAGGTGATGAGACAGAAGAGAGAGAGGCCCAAAGTTTACAGTAAAGCACTATGGGTGCTTTGGTAGCAGGTATTTTATGGTAACACACATCCAACGAACTATGAAACTAGCACCGAAATCATACACAGGCTTCTAAGCCATTATCTCTTGCATGAAGTGACAAAAAGCACATTGGGTCCTGTTTTCTTTTTTTTTTTTTTAAGATTTATTTATTTATTTATACAAGAGCTGGGGTACAGGTCAGAAGCATGGGAGTTTGAGAGAATTCACCAGAGCCAGAGCAGGGAGCAGAACAGGCAGACAGACTGAAGACACTGCTGAAGGGAGCTGCGGGTGAGACAGGAGAGGTCTGCAGTTCAAATATAAAGTTGGGGATCACTAGCACATACAAGAAAGTAACAGTCATGTTTTTGTTAGAAGACAGAAGATCAAGGACTGAATGTTAATGCTCCTCCTCAATTTGGATAAAAGGAGGATGCAGTTGAAGAGAAATAGGAAACACAGACTAAGATGGAAGAACAAGAAATGCTTGGGGGGAACCTGATACATGAGTTTACCTCAGAAAATACAAGTCCCGAGAAGCAAATGAAGAAATTATTTTGAAGGAGAGATTTCCATTATGCAAAAGTGTTCACTCTTTTTGATGGATGGTTGTTGTTATGCAAGTTTCACTTTTCTCCAATTGAATTACTGATATTGTTTCTCACACCAGAGTGAACACAAGAAAAATTAGGGGATGGACAGTTCTGTAGGACTTAGGTTAGTGTCACAGCCATGGAGGAGACCATTTTCTTCTTCGGCTGTATTTTGCAATACCCAATCAGAATTATTTAGTATTTTTGGTACTACTCTACTTTATTTCAAACCACCTCTTTGTGACATTCAATGGACAACAAAACGGTGGAACAATAAAAATTTATAAAATCTTATAAGCAAAATATTCTGAATGTTTCTATTAATTGAATTTGTAGATCACTGTAAATAGAGCTCAACGTATTTACAGCAACAGACCTCAGAAAGTCACTAAAAAAAGCAAATGACAAAAAAAAAAAAAAAAACAAATCTAGGACATAGGACTGAAAAATTGAGGCTGAGAGTGGGAGAGTTAGACAGGGTGACAACACAAAGGAGGGGCCTACGGTCTAGAATAAAGCAGTGTGGGTGTGATGGTGGAGGGTGTCCTGTGGTAGCATCCATCTGATGAGGTGTGAACTTATCCCCTAAATCATACACAGGTTGTAAATGAATGTCCCCTCAACAAAGGGGCAAAACACAAAGTGATTCTCATAGTTCATAGTTTGGCAGTATTAGTCTGATCAGGGTGAGATTTCTCTTGCCTTGGACTGTCAACTGTATTATGCTGCTTGTTTCCCACACAGTAATCACTGCTAATAATCCTTTAAACTGAAAGGAAAGTTTATAGATTTTACCTTCCGGGAATCTCAACTGGGTCAGGACTCCTGCTATCCACATTCACTGGAAGGGCAGGACCACTCTTCTTGTTTATTTGGCCAACAGATTTTGATGAAGGTGATAAATTATTATTTTGCTTTTTTGCTAACTTCTTCAGGAAACCAAGAACCCTCCTTTAAAAACAAAAGTAACAACAACATATGCAGGAAAATACTTCTTTGCTTCAAAGCCACAAGTCCAATTCTGATACCACGTAATAGTACATTTATGATATGCTGTAGGTGAGCATCTGGGAGGTTTTAAAACGGGGGTATAAATACACAGCAGGTTACCAGGGGAGAAATGGCTCCACACAGAGAATACGAAGTGAACAATAGGATAGGGCACATCACATCCCTGTGTTTCCCAAACATGCAAGGGACAGAACAAAACACTAAGAGATGAGTGCACCCAGAATTTTTTTTTTTGGTTTAGACTTGTCATATATGGCCTTTATTATCTCTAGGTATGCTCCTTCTACATCCATTTTTAATAAGAATTTTTTTCCCTTCATTTGTTTCATTTTTTTAAATTTTAGTTTTATTTTTATATTATCCATACAATTATAACCCCCTTATTTTGACCCCAATCCCTCCTTTCCACACCCCCTACCCCCATAGAGTGTCTCTGGTTCATAGTTGTTTGTTGATTTTGGTATTTTCTTTCTTATAGTTATTTTTTGAAACATATTGAATGTTACACTGAAAAGCCTATGTTCATTGTTGAAAAGTGTTCGTAAACATGAAACTGAGAATTCAATGTGTACTGCATATAGACATTGTTTTCTTTAATGTAATAATGTGCATAGATTGAAATCAGTACTAGGCACATATAATGGAAGAAATCTGAGCAGATCTTGTGTGTTAGACATCATGTATTTATAAAATACATTCTGTTTGAATGATATCAGGGTCCTGTCCAAATATGTTGCACATCTTCAGGGCCTGTAGCAGAACAACAATTTAGCATCAACTCCAGACGAAAAAAATGCCTCTCTAATATCTATGCATTTTAGTGTCATATGCAAGGGGATGTGAGAGAAGCCCCAGCCACGGGCTGAGTGAGGACATGATAGGAATTAAGGTAAGATGTCTGCAGTACCAAAATAAAACTGGGGATTATAAGAATATAGAAGGAAGTAAATGACATGAGACAGAATATTTTGAGGTATTTAAATTTTTCCAAAGGAAATGGGCTTTGAAAACAAGTGGGAATAAGAGTCTGAGGTCAGGGAACAAACAATGAGTGGGACCATTACTGGTGTAAATTCAAGAGTGAATACAAGGGAATCTCGGGATAGATAGTTCTGTGGCCCTTAAAGAGCTCATAGCATACCATGGTGGGTTACTATTCTTCTTGTTTGACTAGTTTGCAATGCACAACCATGATTACTTAGTATTTCTGTAACAGCTGCCTTCTTTTCTAATTACCTGCATGTGACACACAATGATCAGCAAAGTGAAGGGAAATTCAAAAATTCATATGATCAATAAAGCAAACCTCCCCTGATTGTGTCCTTTATTGAATTTAATCTATGTATTTAATTTATGAATAGATATTGATTAGATATTAAAGTATTGATTGCAATGCATCTCCTCCTCACAGTCACTAAACAAAGGAACTAGAAAAGTAAACAAATCAAACACAGGGTATAAAACTACAGATAGGAGTCTACTAGAAGATGAGCAAAAGGGATTGTGCAGAGAACAAAACCAGGACAGGGCCTAAGATCTACAGTAAGGCAATACTGGCATTGGTGATGGGTGTCGGGCAATACCATACATCTGATGAGATGGGAACATATCGCCCAAAACATACCCACGATGGGAAAACAATGTTCTCCCTATGAGTGACCAAAACTCATTTGTCCCCATCATTAAACTGTCAGCAGTATTTATCTATAATGCTGAGATAATTTTTGCCTGACAACTGCAATGAACTGTTTGATTTAAAAAACACAATCACAGCTAATTTTCCTTGAACCTTCAAGGAAGAGTTAATTTTAACCTGGTGACACTCTCATCTGGTTCATGTCTCCTGCCATCAACATTCACTGGAAATACAACAACAGGCTTCACACCAGCTAGACCCTCAGATACTGATCACAGCAAAGAATCACATTGGTGATTCTTTGGTGTCAGGCACCCTACTTTAAAGTGCAACCGTGTACCTCATGGTTTCAAAGAAATCTACTAATAAAGCATAACAAAACAACTATTACAAAATTCCAACACACCCATCTTCACTCATGTATACATTCTTAAAATCATGATGAATTAATAACCATAAGAAAGGAAAATACTCCCTGCTTCAAAGCCACTAGTACTATTTGATACAATGTGATAGTTTTTTTAGTGTACATTTAGGACATGTTGTAAGTGAGCACCAGGGAGGCTGTAATAGTGGGTACAAAAATACAGCAAGACACCAGGCAAGGAGCTGGGGGAGAAACCATATGACATGGAGATAACAAGGTAAGCACTAGATAGGGCACATCACATCAATGTGTTTCCCATACTTGACATGATAAGAGTAACATTTTGAATGTTGAGTGCACCCAGAAATTTTGAAACATATTGAATTCTACACTGAAAAGGTGAGTTCACTGTGGAAAGCTACTGATGCTTACACAGGAGACTAATAATTAAATGTGTACTGTTCTTTGGCTTTTGTTTTTATAATGTAATAATGTGCACCTGATTAAAAAATATATGGGAACATATACTGGAAGAAATCTGAGAAATTCTTGTCAGTGAAATAGATTTACTTTCAAATATTCAATACACATATCTCGGGAATGACTCAGGGTCATCCAAATAAGTTGTACCTCATCAGTTTCTTGTACTAAGAACAGCAATTTGGATTTATCCATGTACAAAAAAAAAAAAATTGCCTTTCTGACCTGAGTGATCTACTACCAGATACCCAGAGAGGAGCCCAGCTGCAGGTGCAGTGAGAACATGCCAGGCATTAAGATAGGATCTGAGCAGAAATAAAACTTTGGACACCTTTAGCATTTTCAAGGAAATAAAAGTCATGGGACAGAAGATCATGGGATACTTCAATTTGTCTAAAGGAAATGGGATTGAAAAGAAACAGGAAAAACAGACTGAGGTCAAAAAACAAGAAATGGAAGGGGGATACCTAGTAAGTGAGGTCTCCCTCTGAAATTACCAGAGCCTAGAGTCAAATGAAAATACTATGTGGTGGGGGCCTCCCCGGTGGCGCAGCGGTTGAGCGCTGGGTTGTGAAGCTGCCCGCAGCCTCTGCAGCACAGGTCGATCCCTGGCTGCTCCCCGGCCACTGGAGGAGGGTCCCACATGGCGCGCAGACCTCTCCTGCAGCCCGCTGCTCCCCTCAGCAGTGTACTTCGGTCCTTCTGCCTGCTCTGCTCCCCGCTCTGATGAATTCTCTCACCCTCCCGCGCGCTTCTGAATGTACCCAGTGCATGTATAAACAAACAAACAAACAAACAAACAAATAAATAAAGCATGCCTCAAAAAAAAAAGAAAGAAAATACTATGTGGTGGGACAATGGTTTCCATTGAGGCAGACATTGCCCATGGGTCTAAAAAAGCATGTTTTGTTATCATAGAGTGAAAAATCTTTGTAATCTTTAGAAAGCAAGTTTGGAGCAGGCATGAATGGGCCCATTACTGGTGAAAGTTCAAGAGTGAAAATAAGAGAAAATGGGTATAGATAGTTCTGTAAGCCTAAAAGAGCACATGGGATACACAATTCTTCTTATTTGAATAGTTACAAATACATAATAATGATTATTTGGTATTTCTTTAATAGTCTGCTTCTTTTCTAACCACCTGATGTGACACACAATGGTCAACAAAGTGAAGGAAAATTGAAAAAAAAAGATCATTACAGAAATTATATCTTGATTGTTTCCTTTTATTGACTTGAATCTATTTACCGAATTTATGAATTGATGATAGATAGATATTAAAGTATTTACTGCACTATGTCTCCTCCACAGTGACTAAGCTAAGGAACTAGAAAACTGAAAAAACACAGAACATACGACTGAAGCACAAGGGGTTGGGAGAAGAATAAAATCGGGATGGGGCCTAGCGTCTATAATAAAGCATTACGGGGCATTAGTGGTGGGTGTCGGGCACAACAATCACCTGATGAGGTGTGAACATATCCCCTAAAGCACACACAGGCTTGAAAAACAACACTGGCTCGATGTAGTGACAAAAACACAATGATCTACATCATTCAACTTTCAGCAGTGTTTGCCTATAATGGTGACATTTTTTTGCCTTTTCCTGACAAAAACAATCACAGCTCATTGTCCTTGAACCTTAAAGGAAGAGTTGTTTTTACCTTGTGCCATTCTTATCTGGTTCGTGTCTTCCGCCGACTACATTCACTGGAATCACAACAGGCTTCGTACTGGCTAGACCCGCAGATTCTGATAAAAATGCTGAATCACATTGGGTTGTCTTCTTCCCGTTGTCAGCAACCCTACTTTAAAAGAAGGAACCATGTAAACCTCATGTTTTCTAAGATAAAGTGTAATGAAACAACTTTTACAAAATTCCAACATTATCCACCTTCATTCACTGATATATTCTGAAAACCATGATGAAGTAATAACCATAAGCAAGGAGGATACTCCTTGCTTCAAAGCCACATGTACAATTATGACACAATGTGATAGTTAAGAGCACATTTAGGACATGCTGTAAGTGAGCACCTGGGAGGCTTTATACAGCAGGTAATAGAAATACAGGAGTCCGCCAAAGGCACTGGTGGAGAAACCACTCTACATAGACAATAAAACGTAAACAGTAGCACAGGGCACATCACATCTCTGTGTTTCCTAAACTTGAAAGGGAAAGGACAATAACTGAGAATTCAGTGTACCCAGAAATTTTAAAACATATTGAATGCTACACTGAAAAGTCTGAGTTCACTGTGAAAACTGATGGATGCGTAGACAAGAGACTACTAATTAAATGTGTACTGTTCTTTGGCCTATGTGTTTTTTCAATGTAAAAATGTGTACCTAATTGAAATAGTACTAGGAACATATATTAGAAGATCTCTGATAAATTCTCATGGGGGAAAAAAGATTTATTTTTAAAATATTCCTTGCACAAATCATGGAATGACATCAGTGTCATGTCCAAATTAAGCTTCCCCTACACAAAATAACAATTTGTCATCTGTCATGGACAAAAATGATTGCCTTTATGTCCTCAGTGACCCAGAACAACACATCATGAGAGGAGCCCCAGCTGCAAGTGCAGTGAGTACAGGTCGGGAATTAAGATATCTGTAGTATAACTACAACTTTGAACATCTTTAGCATATTCATGGAAGTAAAAGTCATGGACAGAAGACCTGGGATACTTCCATTTGTGCAAAGGCAATGGGGTTGAAAGAGGTAGGAAATACAGATTGAAGTCAAAGCAAAAGAAATGGATGTAGGATACCAGGTAAGTGAGTTCTTCCCTGAAATTACCACAGCATAGAGCCAAATGAAGAAATTATGTTGAAGAAGAGTGATTTCCATTGAGGCAGACAGAGCCCATGAGTCTAAAAAGGTATGTATCAATATCACAAAGTGAAAAATCTGTGGCAACCACTAGAAAGCAATTTTTGAAGCAGGAATGAGTGGGATCATTACTGGTAAAAGTTCAAGAGTGAAAACAAGAGAAACTTGGAATAGGTAGTTTTGTAGGCCTTAAGAGATCACGGCATACTATGGTAGGTCACAATTCTTTGTTTGACTAGTTTGGAATACACAATCATGATTATTTAGTATTTCAGTAATATTGGTAATAGCCTACTTCAAAATTCATAGGATCATTAAAGCAAATTAATTCAAAAATTCATATGATCATTGAAACAAATTCATATGATCATTAAAGTCTCCTGATTGTGTTTCCATATAGAATTTAATCTATTTATTGAGCTTCTGAATGGATGCAGAAAGATAGTAAAGTATGTATGCAATGCATCTCCTCCTCACAGTCACAAAACAAAGGGACTAGAAAACAAGACAAAACAAGCCAAGAATATAGGACTACAACTGAGTGCACTAGAAAAGGATCACAAAGCATTGGGGCTTAGAACAAAACAGGGAGGGGACCAAGGTCTACATTAAAGCAGTACGGATATATTGGTGGTTACTGTTGGCAGTAATATTCATCTGATAAGGTGGAAACATATCTCCCAGAACATACACAGGCTTCAAAAACAATGCTCCCTCTATGCAGTAACCAAATACTTATTGGTCCATATCACTCAAGTATTAGGTGTTATTTGTCTGATAATGGTGAGGATTTTCACCTTGGCTTGAAAGTGCAATATGCTGTTTAATTTCAGAAGAACAGTCACAGCTAATTTTCCTTGAACCTTGAAGGAAGAGTTGATTTTTACCTTGTGACATTCTTATCTGGTTCCCATCTCCCACCATCCATATTCACTGGAATCACAGCAGGCTTCGTACTGGCTAGACCCGCAGATTTCGTTGAAAGCCTTGAATCACTTTGGCTTGGCTTGTTCTGTTTGTCTGGAACCCTACATTAAAGGAAGAAACCATGTAAACCTCATGGTTTCTAAGAAATCTACTCATTAAATATAATAAAACAACTGTTAAAAAATTCCAGCACTATCCATCTTTATTCATTGATATATTCTTAAAACCATGAGGAAGTAACAACCATGAGCAAGGAAAATACTCCTTGCTTCAAAGTCACATGTACAATTGTGATACACAATGTGATAGTTAGAGTACCCTGTAGGTGGCAACTAGGAGATTTGACAGCATAGGCAAAAAAGAAAACAACAATTACAGCAGGTACCAGGGAAGGAGTTGGAGGAGAAATCTCGCCACAGAGATTACAATGTAAACAATAAGATAAGCACATCACATCTCTGTGTTTCCTAAGGGTCATGCCTAAATGTTTGGACCTGTACCTCATCAGTTTCCCCACCAAGAACAAGAATTTGGCATCACCCTTGGACAAAAAAATAATTGGATTTGTGAGGCGAACGTTCCAGTACATACACCCAGGGATCTGAGAGGAGGCAAGGCTGCAGATGCTGGAATACATTCCAGAAATTAAGGTAAGGGATCTGTTCTGTAAAATAATTTATCAGATCATGAGCATATTCATGAAGTAACATTTGAGATAGAAGATCTTGGGAGACTTCCATTTGTCTGTAGGAAATGGGGTTGAAAACAAATAGGTAAAACTGGCTGAGATGGAAGAACAAGATATGGGGGGAGGGCATCTGATAAGTATGTTATCCCCTTCAAAATACCAGAGCCCAGAGTGAGATGAAGAAATTATGTTGGAGAAGAAAGTGTTTCATTGAGGCAAATAAAGCCCATCCATCTAAAATGGGATCTGTCAATATCTTAAAGTGGAAAATCAGTGGTAAGCTTTAGAAAGCAATATTGGAGGGACCTCCTGGTGGCTCAGGGGTTAAGTCTCAGCACTATCCAGCTATCGCCAGCCACTGTGGCCTGAGATTGATCCCTGCCCAGGAAGCTACCCACATGGTACAGCTGGCCACCCCTCTCTCACCTGCTGTGCCCCTCAGCAGTGTATTTCAGCAGATCTGCCTGTTCTGCTCCCCATTCTGTTTGGTGAATCCTCTCAATCCCTACACCTCTGGCCTATACCCCCAATTCTTGTATTCATAAAAAAATAAAATGAATACTTAAAAAAAAAGCAAGTAAGCTTTAGGAAAGGACATGTATAGGAAAATTACTGGTGTAAATTCAAGAGTTGAAACAAGAGAAATTGGGGGTAGATCTGTAGGTTTTGTTGGCAACATGACACATGTGGTGGTTCACATTGTGTTTTACTGTAGTTTGTAACACCTATTCATGATTAGTTAATATTTCTGTATTAGTGTACTTTTTCCTAATCACATCTAGTGACACCAATTGTCAACAAAATGGTATAACAATTCAAAAAATTCATGTAATCATGCAAGCAAAAGTCTCCTGAATGCATTTGCATTGATTGGAATGAATATATCTATTGAATTTATGAATGGATGCTTAATCGAAGTTAATGCGTTTATAGCAATACATCTCCTCCACAGAGACACCAAAAAAGGAACTGGATAAATTAAGCCAAAACAAACCAGGATACAGGACTAGAGGAAGAGCACAAGGGATGGAGGGATGGGAACATTAGGGGGGAGCGTAAGGTCAAGAGCAAAGCACCAGGGATGTTTTGGTGGTGGATGTCATGTGGTAATGTAGCATCTGATGAGTGTGAACTTACTCCCTAAATGTTACACAGACTTGGAAAACAAGGTTCCTTCTATGAATTGACCAAATGCTCACAGGGCACGCTGTCCACCTTTCAGTAGTATTTGTCTGACACTTGTGATAGGTTTTTGCTTTGGCCTGTCCACTACAACAGGCTCTTTCATTTCAGAAAATCAGTCCAATTTATTGAATACAACTTAGGTATTCAGTCTATGAATAGACATCTATGAAACAAATCATTTCCTTTGAATACAGCTCCTCTCCAATTCCTTGACAAAAAACTGGCAAACATAAAAATAATGAGAATATAGGACTGAAGAATTCAGGCTACCAGGGAGAGAATGTAGGAGGGATGCAAACACATAGGCATGGGGGCCAAATATTCTAGGATAGAGTGCTCTGGATGCTTTGGTGGTGTGTGTTGTGAAGTAACATACATCTCAAGCAGTATGAAACCATAAAAAAAAGAAGTATGAAACTGCCCTAATTTATACACAAGCTTGTAAATGCATGTCCCTTCTACAAAGAAGCCAAAAACTGAATGGCCCACATCATTCACCGTTCAAAATTATTTGTCCTAAAGAGTGAGATTTTTCTTTGCTTCTCCCGTTCACATTATCCTGTTTGATTTGCTTAAAAGCAATGACTGGTCATATTCCTTTGATCTGAAAGGAAAATTTATAGATTTCACCTTGTGGCATCTTTTTCAGATCTCCTGTCCTCCACACCCACAGCAAGTGCAGCTGATCTCGTCTTCTCCTTATTCCCTGAGAACACAACACCGGCCTTCACACTGGCTACATCCATAGATTCTACTGAAGGCCATGAAATACTTCCATTTCCCTTACTCCCATGTTAAGAAAGCCAGAACACCTATTTTTTTTAAAAAGGAAACTTTGAACATCTAATATTTTATAATATCTCTACTTATAATGGTAAACGAGAACTTCTGTAAAATGCCAACTCTTACCCATCTTCATTCATTGATTATTCTTAAGATAGTGATAAAGTCACAACCATAAGCAAGGAAACACACTCCTTGCCTCAAAGGCATGCATATAATTCAGATTCAATCTGAGGGTAATAGTACAATATATGACATCCTTTAAGTAAGCATAGGCAGGATTTTTTTTTTTAAGATTTATTCATTAATTTATATAAGCACTGGGTACAGTCAGAAGTGTGGGAGGGTGAGAGAGTTCACCAGAGCCAGAGCAGGGAACAGAACAGGCAGACTGATGGAGTACACTGCTGAGGGGAGCAGTGGGCATGGCAGGGGAGTTCTGTCATGCCATGTGGGACCCTCGCCAGTGGCCGGGGATCAAACCAGCACTGCAGAGCCTGTGGGCAGCTTCGCAGGCCAGCACTCAACTGCTCTGCCAACAGGGAAGGCCCAGCACAGGAAGGCTTTAATGAGATGGTAAGGAAATCACAGAAGGTCTGCAGGCAAGTTACGGGGGGAGGAAACCATTCCACAGAGATTACTGAATGAGACCAACACAAGACAAAATAATTGGTGCAACTCATATTAAAAAAAAAAAAAAAACTAGTAACAACAAATGTTGGCGAGTATGTGGAGGAAGAGGAACTCTACTACACTACACTGCTCGTGGGAATGCAAACTATACAAACACTATGGACACAAAAACATCAATTCAAAAGGACACGTGTATCCCAATGATTACTGCAGCACTTTTTACAATAAGTAAATTATGGCAACAACACCTATGCCCAAAATAAATGACTGGATCAAGAAGATGTGGTATATATACCTCAGCAATACAAAATATAGAATAATGCCATTTGCAGCCACATGGATGGAGCTGGAAGGGATTATACTCAGTGAAATAAGCCAGAAAGAAAAAGAAAAATATCAGATGGTTTCACTTATAGGAGGAAAGTAGAGGATCCAAATAAGAGATGAGGGAAAATTATAATAAATCAAAAATTAAAGTCAAGGGACTCCCTGGTGGCACAGCGGTTGAGTGCTAGGTTGTGAAGCTGCCTGCAGACTCTGTAGCACTGGTTCAATCCCTGGCCACGGGGCAAGGGTCCCACATGGCGCGCAGACCTCTCCTGCTGCCCGCTGCTCCCCTCAGCAGTGTACTTTGTCACTCTGCCTGTTCAACTCTCTGCTCTGGCTCTGGTGAATTCTCTCACCCTCCCATGCCTCTGACTGTACCCAGTGCTTGTATAAATAAAGAAAGAAAGAAAGAAAAAAAAATAAATCTTAAAAAAAATTAAAACCAAGAGGCAACTATAAATCAGAGACATTCTGCAGGGAAGGAGAATGGAGAAAGATCAAAACAGTGGTGGGAAGAGCACAAGGGACTACGGTGATGGTACATGGGTGAATTGGTGGTGGGAACTTCAGAGGGACTACACCTGAGAGAAGAAAGCATACATTGTACAAAAATGAAGAATGATGTAAAACATATATTAAAAGAAAGAATAAACCAGAAGGCATATTAAAGAAATTACTGAAAATGTAAAAACAAAACAAAACAAAAAAGAAATGCCTTGGAGTACAGCATGGTGAGCATATAATACTCTACTACGTATTTGAAAGTTGCAGAAAGTAGACCTCAAAAGTTCTCATCAGCAGTGTTGACCATGTATATCCAAAATATTATCTTTTTAACATGCAAGCAAAATAAAAATTACTGAGAAAAAAATATGTGCAACTTATGTAAAAGTATAAGGCACTGTAATATGATGGAAGAAATCAGAGAAATATGTTGGGGGGGAGACATGACATGTACTTTAAAATAAGTTTATGTTGGAATGACATCAGGGTAATGACCAAAAATATCTACCTAATAAGGTCAGCATATCAAGAAAAAAGCTTGGTATCACCCATGGACAAAAAAAAAAAAAAAAAAATGCCTTTCTGAGAGCTGAGTGCTCCAGTCCCATACACCAAGACATCTCAGAGGAGTCCCAGTCTCGAGTGCAGTGTGTACAGGCTCACAGACCACATTTCTGCAGTGACCCTGCAAGGCCCAGGACCTGACTCCACATAACTCAGCTGCATCCAGGAACAGCTGAAAATCCTATCTTTAGCCACAGTGCTCATGGAACTGCAGTCCTTAATCTCCACTCTTCCCCAGTCTCTAGACTGGAGGAACATGTGGCTGTGTTGGAAAACTCTGTGTCCTATCGGCTTACTTTTTCCTAATTATGGCACAAAACAGACAGCATCTTTTATGTGCACAAGTTGAGGGCTCATAATTCTGGGGCCAGATTTCTTTCAACCCCTATGATAATGTACCAATACTACGCTTTTCCTCAAATTAAAAAAAAAAAAAAATTCTTACTCATCTAACTATTTTACCTTACTTAAAACTACCATAAGTACCAGTAAGAGGCCTAAAGAGGAAGCATACAATTAGACTGTAGTCCTGAAATAGGCAAACATTCAACAAGGTAAATCTGCATATTGCAAACAGCCACAACAATCCTAAAAGGCATGCAATTGATAAAGGAGACTCACCGTCCGTGGACCCACACAGAACTGTCTGGTCCAAGTGATAATTAGTATAAAATGTAAAACAATACAAACAGCTTCAACTCCATTGATACACTATATTTTTAAGGAGCAGTAAATTTTCAGCCCCTCTTAAAAGCACTGAATGTATGGAAGAGAAATAACCAAACTCCTACCCTGAGAATGAAGTTACAGACGTTGAACCAGAAGGAAAATACACTTCCTGTTAGACAACACTAAAGCAGAAAGGGAAATTTGGAGGTTTGTAAGAGTGTGGCAGTCAAAATATGACTCGGAATGGCCAAGGCAGGTCTAACTGAGAAAATGGCTCTTGAGGAACCAACTGTAGGGATGAAGGGAGCAGGCGTGAGGATTATACGCCTTTTCCAAATGTTTTGGCTTTTTGCAATATGCAGATGCTTTTTCAGAAGAAAGAGCATTCCAGTTAGAATGAACAGCAAGTACCGAGGTATGCCAGGATGAGGGAAGAGTCAAAGTTCAGGGGGGCTGGAAAGGAATGGAAGGGGCAGGATATAGAAATACAAGTGACACAGAGAGAGACAAACAGAGAGAAACCACAATGGAAGTATAGAAACTCATCTGAGATGAACAGTGGCTAGTTCCAGATAGAGATTGGAAGAACGCTGGCATGTACTCTGAGTGAACTGGGAGTCAACTAGAGTGTTTTGAGAAGAGAGAAACAACATAATCTGATTTATGCCTTAATAGGCCCACTAATATTAAAAGGATATGTTGGGCCTCCCCTGGTGGCGCAGTGGTTGACCGTTGGGCTGCAAAGCTGCCTGAGCCTCTGCAGCACTGGTTTGATCCCCGACCACCGGCGAGGGTCCCAAATGGCGTGCAGACCTCTCCTGCCGTGCCGGCTGCTCCCCTCAGCAGTGTACTTTGGTCCTTCTGCCTGTTCTGCTCCCCGCTCTGGCTCTGGTGAATTTTCTCACCCTCCCGCGCCTCTGACTGTACCCAGTGCTTGTATAAATAAATAAATCTTTAAAAAAAAAAAAGAACTTAAACTGTAACAAACAATATATTTAAAAAAATAAAATAAAAATAAAATGATTGTTGAGTGAAAAGGAAGGGAGATAGGGACATATTAATGGTCTCTTATATTATACAAGAGAGAAGATGATCTGGATTCAGCTTGGAAAATGTCACTGGTTTGTGGATATGTTTGGCTGTTAGACATTAGATGATTTACTGAAACATTAGTTTCCAGGTGCAACAGAAAGAGAAAGACAGGAATCGCAGGTGACACCCAATCTTATGATAGAGCACCTGCAAGATCTGCCGCTATCTAAAAGAGCAAAGACTATCAAATAGTCAAGACACTTGCTTGAGGTATTCTGCATCTATGTTCATCAGGTAGATTGGTCTTCATTTTCTCTTTTTGGAAGGTTTTGGTCTGGGTTTGGTATCAGAGTAATGTTGGCCTCATAGAAGCATTCCCTCTTCCTCAACCTTTAGGAAACATTCGAGAAGGGTAAGTAGCAGACATATTTGATATTTTGGTACAAGTCACTTTTGCAGCCATCTGGTCCTGGGCTTTGTTGTTTGGAAAACTTTAACTTATTTATTTATTTATTTATTTTTAATTTTATTTTTTCTAAAGATTTATTTATTTATACAAGACAGGGGAACAGGCCAGATGTGGGGGAGGGTGAGAGGATTCACCAGAGTCAGAGTGGGGAACAGAACAGGCTGACTGAAATATACTGCTGACGGGAGCAGCAGGCAGGACAGGAGAGGTCTCCCGCGCCATGAGGGTTGCTTAGCGGCCGATGGGAATCAAACCAGCACTGCAGAGGCTGCGGACAGCTTCACAGCGCTGCACTCAACTGCCTGCACCACCAGGGAAGCCCGTGTTTGGAAAACTTTAAAAAACTTTTAACAATTCCATTGTAATTGCTTTGCTCAGGTTTTCTATCTCTTCCTCATTCAGTCTTGGAAGGTTGTATTTTTCTAATTTTTTTTTTCCATTTCTTCTTTGTTACCCGAGTTCTTGTTATATAGATGTTCATATGATCTCATATACAGATATTCATATGATCTCACAATCTTCTGTATTTCTGATATATGTACTACAACTTCTCTTTTGGTTTTGGTTATATTTATTAAGAATCTTCCTTTCTTTGCTTTGTGAACCTAGTTATAAGTTTGTCTATTTTGTGTGTTCTTCGAAGAACTTGCTTCTTGCTTCACTGATATTTTGGACTGCCTTTTTTTTATTTCTATTAGTCTATTTCTGCTCCAATTCTTATAGTTTCCTTCTTTCTCCTGGGTTTTGATTTTACATGTTCAAGTTTCTTAAATTATAAGGTTAGAGATTATATATTTTAAATATTTCTTATGGGCCTGTATTGCTTTGTACTTCACTCTTCGTACTTTGTAGGTTCTATTATACTCATGTGTTCATTTTCATTTATCTTCAGGTATTCTTAAAGTTCTCCTTTGATTTCCTCATTAACCCAATAATCATTCAATAGTAGGTTATTCAGTCTCCATTTATTACTGTTTTTTCCCATTTTTGTTGTGGTTGATTTCTCATTTGATACCATTGTGATCAGAGAAGACATTGTTATGATTGTAATCTTCATGAATTAACATTCATTTTGTGATCCAGCATGTGGTGTATCCTGAAGTATGTTCCATGTTCCCTAACAAGAATGTGTACTAACATATGCACAATGGAATATTACTCAGCAATCAAAATAGATAAACACATGCAATTTGCAGCAACATGGATGGAGCTGGAAGGGATCATGCTCAGAGAAATAAGCAAAAATACCGGATGGTCTCACTCATAGCAGGGATTTAGATAACCTAAATAAGGTACCAGGAAAAAGAATAACTATTAGAAAGAAAAAATCAAAATCAACAAACAACTATGAATCAGAGGCACACTGTGGATGGGGTGGGGGGAATGAGGGTTTTGGGTCAAAATAAGGGGGCTGCAATTGTATGGGGAATATAAAAATAAAAGAAAAAAAGAAATGTGTACTAAGCTTTGTGGGGACAGTGCCCTGTAAATGCTTATTGAGCCTATGTGGTCTGATTCCTCATTTATGGCTATTGTTTCCAAGCTCATTTTCTGTCTGTTTGTCTGTCCATTGATGAAAGTGAGGTGTTGATGTCCCCTCTACTGTCCTGTGGTTGCCAATGTTTGTTTTCAGATTTGGTAATTGTTGTCTTATATATTTTGATGCACCTTCATTTGGTGCATATATACTGATGAGTGCTTTGTCTTCCCGATGTATTGATCACTTAATTATACAATATCAACCTGTCTCTCATTACCTGTTTTAGATTGAAGCCTATTTTATCAGATATAAGCTTGGCTAGCACTGCTTTTATCTAGGGCCCACTTGCCTGTAAGATTGTTTTCCAACTACATGTTTATCTGTGGAGCTCACTTATGCTCCTGGAGATAGCAAAAAGTTGGGTTTTGTTTTCTTATCTAACCAGATACTCTGTACCTTTTGGTTGGTGAGTGCAGGCTTACACTTGAGGTGATTATTGAGGTATTTGCTCTGTAAGCATAAGTCACTGTCATTTTACCTTTAGTTTTCTGGTTCTACCTATTTCCCTGTTTATGTTTTTGTAGATATTCTTCTCTTAAATTTTAATATCATCGGTCCTTTCAACATTTCTTATGACGGAGGGCTAGTGTTGACAAAGTCCTATAGCTTCAATTGCTCTACAAAGACCTTCATTTCTCTCTCAGACATTGAAGGACGGTCTCGAAGATACAGTATTTAAAGTTGGCAGTTTTATTCTTGAAGTATTTTTAATATGTCATTCCATTCTCACAAGGCTTTAGGATTTCCTCAGAAAAGTCTGCTGTAAGCCTGTGGGAGGAGTACCTTTATAGGTATCCGTCTATTTTCTCCATCCACTATGGAAATTGTTTGCCTTCACTCTTGATAGATTCACACCTATGAGGCTTAGTGTAAGTGTCATTATATTTAAATAACCAAGTATTCCTTTAACCTTCAAGAGCTCATGGGATACAATGGTGGGTCATGGTTCTTCTTGTTTGAATAGTTGAAAATACATAACAATGATTATTTGGTGTTTCTGTAATATTCTACTTCTTTTCTAACCACTTACATGTGAAACAAAATGGTTAACAAATTGAAGTGAAATTAAAAAAAAAACACTATTGTCATATAATGAGTGTGTTCCCTTTTATTGACTTGAATCTATTTATTGAATTTATGAATCGATGATGGATAGATATTAAAGTACTTATTGCAATAGGTCTCCTTCAAGTCACTGAGCTAAGGCACTAAAATCTGAAAAAAAAATGCAGACTAAACAACTGAAGCACAAGGGATTGGGAGAAGAATGAAATAGGGATGGGACCGCACGTCATTCGCACAGCATTATGGGGTATTAGTGGTGGGTGTCACACACAGCATTCACCCGATGAGGTGTGCACATGTCCCCTAAAGCACACGCAGGCTTGGAAAACAACACTGCCTCAAAGAAGTGACAAAAACACAATGAACTACATCATTCAACTTTCAGCAGTGTTTGCCTATAATAGAGACTTTTTTTTTGCTTGGACTGACAAAAGCAATCACAGCTCATTGTCCTTAAACCTTAACGAAGAGTTGTTTTTACCTTGTGCCATTCTTATCTGGTTCATGTCTCCCGCCGACTACATTCACTGGAATCACAACAGGCTTCGTACTGGCTACAAAAGCAGATTCTGGTAAAGACACTGAATCAAAATGGGTTGTCTTCTTCCCTGTGTCCGTAAGCCTACTTTGAAAGAAGAACCATGTAAACCTCCTGTTTTCCAATATAAAGTGTAATGAAACAACTTTTACAACATCCCAACATTATCCACCTGCATTCACTGATATATTCTTAAAACCGTGATTAAGAAATAACCATAAGCTAGGAGAATACTCATTACTTCAAAGCCACATGTACAATTATGACACAATGTGATAGTAAAGAGTACATTTTTGACATGCTGGGAGGCTTCACACAGGTGGAATAAGAAATACAGCAGGACACCAAAGGTACTGGTGGAGAAACCACACTACATAGACAATGGACCGTAAACAGTATGATAGGGCACATCACATCTCTGTGATTCCTAAGCACACATCTCTGTTTTTCCTCTGTGTTTGAAAGGGAAAGAACAATAACTGAGAGTTCAGTGCACACAGAAAGTTTAAAACATATTCATTGACACACTGAAAATCTGAGTTCACTAGGAAATCTACTGCTGCTTAGACAAGAGACTAATTATTCAATGGGTACTGTTCTTTGGCCTTTGTATATTTTAATGTAAAAATGAGCACCTAATTGAACTTGTACTGGGAATACATATTAGAAGGTCTCTGATAAATTCTCATGGGTGAAAAAGATTTACTTTAAAAATATTCACTACATGTATCTTGCAGTGACATCAGGGTCATATGCACGTAAGATGTACCTCATCAGTTTCACCTGCCACGAACCTCAAAATGGCATCACCCATAGACAAAAACAAAAGTTGTCTTTCTGATCTCAGTGATCCAGTACCATATACCCGGAGAGAGGACCGAGAGCAGGTGCAGTGAACACATGTCAGGAATTAAGGTAAGGCCGGCAGCGCACATGCAACTTTGGGCATCTATCATATACAAGGAGGGAAGAGTCATGGGGCCAAAGATCCTGGGAAACCTCAATTTGTCTGTAGGTAAAGGGCTTTGGGAAGAAATAGGAAAAATGGACTGAGGTCAAAAAACGAGAAATGGGAGGGAGAAACCTGGTAAGTGAGCTCTCCCACTGAAATTAACAGAGCCTAAACTCAAATGTAAATATTATGTGGTGGGAGAATGATTGCCATCGAGGCAGACATTGCCCATGGGTCTAAAGAGATATTTGTTGTTATCATAGAGTGAAATATCCTTGTAGCCTTTAGAAAGCAAGTTTGGACCATGCATGAGTGGGACCCTTACTGTTGAAAGTTCAAGAGTGAAAACAAGAGAGAATGGGAATAGAGAGTTCTATAAGCCGTCAGAGCTCATGGGACACAATGGCGAGACATGGTTCTCTTGTTGGAATAGTTGCAAATGCATTACAATGAATATGTGGTATTTCTGTAACAGTCTACTTCTTTTCTAACTACTTGCTTGTGAAACAAAATAGTGAAAAACTTGCAGTTATTTTGAAAAAAAAAATACAACCAAACCCTATGATCATATATTGAATGTGTTTCCTTTTATTGACTTGAATCTATTTACTGAATTTATGAATCGATAATGGATATTAAAGTATTTATTGCACTAGGTCTCCTTCACAGTCACTAAGCTAAGGAACTAGAAATCTGAAAAAAAAAATTGCAGAATAAACGACTGAAGCACAAGGGTTTGGGAGGAGAATGAAATAGGGATGGGGCCTAACGTCCATTATACAACATTATGAGGCCTTAGTGGTGGGTGCCAAGCACATCATTCACCCGATGAGTTGTGAACATATCCACTAAAGCACAAACAGGCTTGGAAAACTACACTCCCAGGATGAAGTGACAAAAACACAATGATCTACATCGTTCAACTTTCAGCACTGTTTGCCTATAATAGAGACTTTTTTTTTTGCGTGGACTGACAAAAGCAATCACAGCTCATTGTCCTTGAACCTTAAAGGAAGAGTATTTTTACCTTGTGCCATTTTTATCTGGTTCATGTTTCCCGCCGACTACATTCACTGGAATAACAACAGGCTTCGTACTGGCTACAAACGCAGATTCTGGTAAAGACGCTGAATCACGTTGGGTTGTCTTCTTCCCTGTGTCCGTCAGCCTACTTTGAAAGAAGAAACCATGTAAACCTCGATTTTCTGAGATAAAGTATAATGAAAGGACTATTACAACATCCCAACATTATCCACCTGCATTCACTGATATATTCTTAAAACTGATGAAGAAATAACCATAAGCAAGGAGAATACTCCTTGCTTCAAAGCCACATGTACAATTATGACACAATGTGAAAGTAAAGTGTACATTTCTGACATGCTGGGAGGCTTCACACAGGTGGTATAAGAAATAGAGCTGTTGGCCATTTGCATTTCCTCTTCAGAGAATATTCTTTATAGCTCTTCTGCCCATTTTTTGACAACAGACATATGAAAAAATGTTCAACAACACTTGTAATCAGGGAAATGCAAATCAAAACTACCATGAGATACCATCTTACGCCAGTGAGAATGGCACATATGAAAAAAACTAGCAACAACAAATGTTGGCGAGGTTGTGGAGAAAAAGGAACTCTTCTGCACTGTTGGTGGGAGTGCAAACTGGTCCAACCACTATGGATAGCTGTGTGGAGATTTCTGGACCTACTAAAAATAGAGCTTCCATATGATCCAGAAATTCCACTCCTAGGTATTTACCCAAAGGACACAGAAACATCAATTCCAAAGAACACCTGCACCCCTATGTTTATAGCAGCACTATTTACAATAGCTAAGCTTTGGAAACAACCCAAAAGCCCAAAAATAGATGACTGTATCAAGAAGATGTGGTACATGTATACCATGGAATATTACTTAGCATTCAAAAAAGATAAACACATGCAATTTGCAGCAACATGGATGGTGCTGAAAGGGATCATGCTCAGCGAAATAAGCCAAAAAGAAAAAGAAAAATACCGGGATGGTCTCACTCATAGCAGGAATCTAGAAAACTTAAATAAGGGACCAGTTATAAGGGACCACTTCCTTGTAATGAATAACTATAAGGAAGTGAAAATCAAAATCCACAAAAAACTATGAACCAGAGACACTTTTTGGGGGTTGGGGTGCGGGATGGGAGGGATTGGGGTCAGAATGGGGGGGTTGCAATTGTATGGGGGAATATAAAAATAAAATTTATTATGTTAAAAAAAATAAAAATAAAAACCAAAAAAAAAAAAAAAAGAAACAGAGCTGATCACCAAAGGCACCGTTGGAGACACCAATCCACAAAGACGATGGATCGTAAACAGTATGATTGGCACATCACATCTCTGTGTTTCCTAAGCACACATCTCTGTGTTTCCTCCGTGTTTGAAAGGGAAAGAACAATAACTGAGAGTTCAGTGCACCCAGAAATTTTAAGACATATTCAATGCCACTCTGAAAATCTGAGTTCACTGTGGAAAACTACTGCTGCTTAGACAAGAGACTAATTATTCAATGGGTACTGTTCTTTGGCCTTTGTATTTTTTAATGTAAAAATGAGCACCTAATTGAACTTGTACTGGGAATACATATTAGAAGGTCTCTGATAAATTCTCATGGGCGAAAAAGATTTACTTTAAAATATTCACTACATGTATCTTGCAGTGACATCAGGGTCATATGCACGTAAGATGTACCTCATCAGTTTCACCTGCCACGAACCTCAAAATGGCATCACCCATAGACAAAAACAAAAGTTGTCTTTCTGATCTCAGTGATCCAGTACCATATACCCGGAGAGAGGACCGAGAGCAGGTGCAGTGAACACATGTCAGGAATTAAGGTAAGGCTGGCAGCACACATGCAACTTTGCATATACAAGGAGGGAAGAGTCATGGGGCCAAAGATCCTGGGAAACCTCAATTTGTCTGTAGGTAAAGGGCTTTGGGAAGAAATAGGAAAAATAGACTGAGGTCAAAAAACGAGAAATGGGAGGGAGAAACCTGGTAAGTGAGCTCTCCCACTGAAATTAACAGAGCCTAAACTCAAATGTAAATATTATGTGGTGGGAGAATGATTGCCATCGAGGCAGACATTGCCCATGGGTCTAAAGAGATATGTGTTATTATCATAGAGTGAAAAATCCTTGTAGCCTTTAGAAAGCAAGTTTGGACCATGCATGAGTTGGACCCTTACTGTTGGAAGTTCAAGAGTGAAAACAGGAGAGAATGGGAATAGAGAGTTCTATAAGCCGTCAAGAGCTCATGGGACACAATGGCGAGACATGGTTCTTCTTGTTGGAATAGTGGCAAATACATTACAATGAATATGTGGTATTCTGTAACAGTCTACTTCTTTTCTAACGACTTGATTGTGAAACAAAATGGTTAAAAACTTGCAGTTATTTTGAAAAAAAAATTACAACCAAACCCTATGATCATATATTGAGTGTGTTTCCTTTTATTGACTTGAATCTATTGACTGAATTTATGAATCCATAATGGATAGATATAAAAGTATTTATTGCACTAGGTCTCCTTCACAGTCACTAAGCTAAGGAACTAGAAATCTGAAAAAAAATTGCAGAATAAATGACTGAAGCACAAGGGTTTGGGAGGAGAATGAAATAGGGATGGGGCCTAACGTCCGTCATACAACATTATGAGGCCTTAGTGGTGGGTGCCAAGCACATCATTCACCCGATGAGTTGTGAACATATCCACTAAAGCACAAACAGGCTTGGAAAACTACACTCCCAGGATGAAGTGACAAAAACACAATGGCCTATATCATTCAACTTTCAGCACTGTTTGCCTATAATAGAGACCTTTTTTGGCTTGGACTGACAAAAGCAATCACAGCTCATTGTCGTTGAACCTTAAAGGAAGAGTTGTTTTTACCTTGTGCCATTTTTATCTGGTTCATGTCTCCCGCCGACTACATTCACTGGAATCACAACAGGCTTCGTACTGGCTACAAATGCAGATTCTGGTAAAGACGCTGAACCACGTTGGGTTGTCTTCTTCCCTGTGTCCGTAAGCCTACTTTGAAAGAAGAAACCAAGTAAACCTCGATTTTCTGAGATAAAGTGTAATGAAAGAACTATTACAACATCTCAACATTATCCACCTGCATTCACTGATATATTCTTAAAATTGTGATGAAGAAATAACCATACGCAAGCAGAATACTCCTTGCTTCAAAGCCACATGTAAAATTATGACACAATGTGATAGTAAAGAGTACATTTCTGACATGCTGGGAGGCTTCACACAGGTGGTATAAGAAATAGAGCTGTTGGCCATTTGCATTTCCTCTTCAGAGAAGTTTCTTTTAGCTTTTCTGGCCATTTTTTGACAACAGACATGTGAAAAAATGTTCAACAACACTTGTAATCAGGGAAATGCAAATCAAAACTACCATGAGATACCATCTTACACCAGTGAGAATGGCACATATTAAAAAAACTAGCAACAACAAATGTTGGCGAGGTTGTGGAGAAAAAGGAACTCTTCTACACTGTTGGTGGGAGTGCAAACTGGTCCAACCACTATGGATAGCTGTGTGGAGATTTCTGGACCTACTAAACATAGAGCTTTCATATGATCCAGAAATTCCACTCCTAGGTATTTACCCAAAGGACACAGAAACATCAATTCCAAAGAACACCTGCACCCCTATGTTTATAGCAGCACTATTTACAATAGCTAAGCTTTGGAAACAACCCAAAAGCCCAAAAATAGATGACTGTATCAAGAAGATGTGGTACATATATACCAAGGAATATTACTCAGCATTCAAAAAAGATAAACACATGCAATTTGCAGCAACATGGATGGCGCTGGAAGGGATCATGCTCAGCGAAATAAGCCCAAAGAAAAAGAAAAATACCGGATGGTCTCACTCATAGCAGGAATCTAGAAAACTTAAATAAGGGACCAGGAAAATGAATAAGTATAAGAATGTGAAAATCAAAATCCACAAAAAACTATGAACCACAGACACTTTTTGGGGGGTGGGGGGCAGGAGGGGAGGGATTGGGGTCAGAATGGGGTTGTTGCAATTGTATGGGGGAATATAAAAATTAAATTTATTATGTTAAAAAAATAAAAAATAAAAAGCAAAAAAAAAAAAAGAAAAAAGAAATAGAGCTGGTCACCAAAGGCACCGTTGGAGACACCACTCTACATAGACGATGGATCGTAAACAGTATGATTGGCACATCACATCTCTGTGTTTCCTAAGCATACATCTCTGTGTTTCCTCTGTGTTTGAAAGGGAAAGAGAAATAACTGAGAGTTCAGTGCACCCGGAAATTTTAAGACATATTCAATGCCACTCTGAAAATCTGAGTTCACTGTGGAAAACTACTGCTGCTTAGACAAGAGACTAATTATTCAATGGGTACTGTTCTTTGGCCTTTGTATTTTTTAATGTAAAAATGAGCACCTAATTAAAATTGTACTGGGAATATATATTAGAAGGTCTCTGATAAATTCACATGGGTGAAAAAGATTTACGTTTAAATATTCACTACGTGTATCTTGCAGTGATAGCAGGGTCATATGGACGTAAGATGTACCTCATCAGTCACGAAACTGCCACGAATCTTAAAATGGCATCACCCATAGACAAAAACAAAAGATGTCTTTCTGATCTCAGTGATCCAGTGCCAAATACACGGAGAGAGGACCAAGAGCAGGTGCAGTGAACACATGTCAGGAATTAAGGAAAGGCCGGCAGCGTACATGAAACTTTGGGCATCTATCAAATTCAAGGAGGGAAAAGTCATGGGACCAAAGATCCTGGGAAACCTCCATTTGTCCGTAGGTAATGGGCTTTGATAAGAAACAGGAAAAATAGACTGAGGTCAAAAAATGAGAAATGGGAGGGAGAAACCTGGTAAGTGAGCTGTCCCACTGAAATGAACCGAGCTTACATTCAAATGAAAATATTATGTGGTGGGAGAATGATTGCCATCGAGGCAGAAATTGCCCATGGGTCTAAAGAGATATGTGTTGTTATCATAGAGTGAAAAATCCTTGTAGCCTTTAGAAAGCAAGTTTGGACCATGCATGAGTGGGATCCTTACTGTTGAAAGTTGAAGAGTGAAAACAGGAGAGAATCAGAATAGACAGTACTGTAAGCCTTCAAGAGCTCATGGGATACAGTGGTGAGACATGGTTCTTCGTGTTTGAATAGTTGCAAATACATTACAATGATTATCTGGTATTTCTGTAATAGTCTACTTCTTTTCGAACCACTTGCTTGTGAAACAAAATAGTAAAACAACTTGCAGTTATATTGAAAAAAAAAAAAGACAAACCCTATGATCATATATTGAGTGTTTCCTTTTATTGACCTGAATTTATTTACTGAATTTATGAATTGATGATGGATAGATATTAAAGTATTTATCGCACTAGGTCTCCTTCACAGTCACTAATATAAAGAACTAGAAATCTGAAAAAAAAGCAGAATAAACGAAAGAAGCACAAGGGGTTGGGAGGAGAATGAAATAGGGATGGGGCCTAATGTCCGTCATACAGCATTATGAGGCATTAGTGGTGGGTGTCAAGCGCAGCATTCACCCGATGAATTGTGAACATATCCCTAAAGCACACACAGGCTTGGAAAACTACACTCCCAGGATGAAGTGACAAAAACACAATGATCTACATCGTTCAACTTTCAGCACTGTTTGCCTATAATAGAGACTTTTTTTTGCTAGGACTGACAAAAGCAATCACAGCTCATTGTCCTTGAACCTTAAAGGAAGAGTTGTTTTTACCTTGTGCCGTTCTTATCTGGATCATGTCTCCCGCCAACTACATTCACTGGAATCACAACAGGCTTCGTACTGGCTACCAACGCAGATTCTGGTAAAGACGCTGAATCACGTTGGGTTGTCTTCTTCCCTGTGTCCGTAAGCCTACCATGAAAGAAGAAACCATGTAAACTTCCTGCTTTCCAATATAAAGGGTAATGAAAGAACTATTACAAATCCCAACATTATCCACCTGCATTCACTGATATATTCTTAAAACCGTGATTAAGAAATAGCCATAAGCTAGGAGAATACTCATTGCTTCAAAGCCACATGTACAATTATGACACAATGTGATAGTAAAGAGTACATTTTTGACATGCTGGGAGGCTTTACACAGGTGGTATAAGAGATACAGCAGGTCACCAAAGGTACTGGTGGAGAAACCACACTATATAGACAATGGACCGTAAACAGTATGATAGGGCACATCACATCTCTGTGTTTCCTAAGCACACATCTCTGTGTTTCCTCCGTGTTTGAAAGGGAAAGAACAATAACTGAGAGTTCAGTGCACACAGAAAGTTTAAAACATATTCAATGCCACACTGAAAATCTGAGTTCAATGTGGAAAACAAATGCTGTTTAGACAAGAGACTAATTATTCAATGGGTACTGTTCTTTGGCCTTTGTATATTTTAATGTAAAAATGAGCACCTAATTGAACTTGTACTGGGAATACATATTAGAAGGTCTCTGATAAATTCTCATGGGCGAAAAAGATTTACTTTAAAATATTCACTACATGTATCTTGCAGTGACATCAGGGTCATATGCACGTAAGATGTACCTCATCAGTTTCACCTGCCACGAACCTCAAAATGGCATCACCCATAGACAAAAACAAAAGTTGTCTTTCTGATCTCAGTGATCCAGTACCATATACCCGGAGAGAGGACCGAGAGCAGGTGCAGTGAACACATGTCAGGAATTAAGGTAAGGCTGGCAGCGCACATGCAACTTTGCATATACAAGGAGGGAAGAGACATGGGGCCAAAGATCCTGGGAAACCTCAATTTGTCTGTAGGTAAAGGGCTTTGGGAAGAAATAGGAAAAATAGACTGAGGTCAAAAAACGAGAAATGGGAGGGAGAAACCTGGTAAGTGAGCTCTCCCACTGAAATTAACAGAGCCTAAACTCAAATGTAAATATTATGTGGTGGGAGAATGATTGCCATCGAGGCAGACATTGCCCATGGGTCTAAAGAGATATGTGTTATTATCATAGAGTGAAAAATCCTTGTAGCCTTTAGAAAGCAAATTTGGACCATGCATGAGTGGGACCCTTACTGTTGGAAGTTCGAGAGTGAAAACATGAGAGAATCGGAATAGAGAGTTCTATAAGCTGTCAAGAGCTCATGGGACACAATGGCGAGACATGGTTCTTCTTGTTGGAATAGTTGCAAATGCATTACAATGAATATGTGGTATTTCTGTAACAGTCTACTTCTTTTCTAACGACTTGCTTGTGAAACAAAACGGTGAAAAACTTGCAGTAATTTTGAAAAAAAAAAAATACAACCAAACCCTATGATCATATATTGAGTGTGTTTCCTTTTATTGACTTGAATCTATTGACTGAATTTATGAATCCATAATGGATATTAAAGTATTTATTGCACTAGGTCTCCTTCACAGTCACTAAGCTAAGGATAGAAATCTGAAAAAAAAATTGCAGAATAAACGACTGAAGCACAAGGGCTTGGGAGGAGAATGAAATAGGGATGGGTCCTAACGTCCGTCATACAACATTATGAGGCCTTAGTGGTGGGTGCCAAAAACATCATTCATCCGATGAGTTGTGAACATATCCACTAAAGCACACTCAGGCTTGGAAAACTACACTCCCAGGATGAAGTGACAAAAACACAACGATCTACATCGTTCAACTTTCAGCATTGTTTGCCTATAATAGAGACTTTTTTTTGCTTGAACTGACAAAAGCAATCACATCTCATTGTCCTTGAACCTTAAAGGAAGAGTTGTTTTTACCTTGTGCCATTTTTATCTGGTTCATGTTTCCCGCCGACTACATTCACTGGAATCAAAACAGGCTTCGTACTGGCTACAAACGCAGATTCTGGAAAAGACGCTGAATCACATTGGATTGTCTTCTTCCCTGTGTCTGTGAGCCTACTTTGAAAGATGAAACCTTGTAAACCTTGTGTTTTCTAAGATAAAGTGTAATGAAACAACTTTTACAACATCCCAACATTATCCATCTGCATTCACTGATATATTCTTAAAACAAACCGTGATGAAGAAATAACCATAAGCAGGGAGAACGCTCCTTGCTTCAAAGCCACATGTACAATTATGACACAATGTGATAGTAAAGACTACATTTTTGACATGCTAGGAGGTTTCACACAGGTTGTATAAGAAATACAGCAAGTCACCAAAGGCACTGGTGGAGAAACCACACTACATAGACAATGGATCATAAACAGTATGATTGGCACCTGCATCTCTGTGTTTCCTAAGCACACATCTCTGTGTTTCCTCTGTGTCTGAAAGGGGAAGAACAATAAGTGAGAGTTCAGTGCACAGAGAAAGTTTAAAAGATATTCAATGCAACACTGAAAATCTGAGTTCACTGTTGAAATCTACAGCTGCTTAGACAAGAGACTAATTATTCAATGGGTACTGTTCTTTGGCCTTAGTATTTTTTAATGTAAAAATGAGCACCTAATTGAACTTGTACTGGGAATATATATTAGAAGGTCTCTGATAAATTCTAATGGGTGAAAAAGATTTACTTTAAATTATTCACTACATGTATCTAGCAGTGACATCGGGGTCATATGCACTTAAGATGTACGTCATCATTTCCCCTGCCACGAACCTAAAAAATGGCATCACCCATAGACAAAAGCAAAAGTTGTCTTTCTGATCAGTGATCCAGTACCATATACTCGGAGAGAGGAACCAGAGAGGTGCAGTGAACACATGTCAGGAATTAAGGTAAGGCCAGCAGCGTAAATGCAACTTTGGACATCTATCATATTCAAGGAGGTAGAAGTCATGGGGTCAAAGATCCTTGGAAACCTGAATTTGTCTGTAGGTAATGGGCTTTGAGAAGAAATAGGAAAAACGGACTGAGGTCAAAAAGCGAGAAATGCGAGGGAAAAACCTGGTAAGTGAGCTCTCCCACTGAAGTTAACAGAGCCCAACTCAAATGAAAATATTATGTGGTGGGAGAATGATTGCCATCGAGACAGACATTGCACATCGGTCTAAAGGGATATGTGAAGTTATCACAGAGTGAAAAATCCTTGTACCCTTTAGAAAGCAAGTTTGGACCATGCATGAGTGGGACCCTGACTGTTGAAAGTTCAAGAGTGAAAATAGGAGAGAATGGGAATAGACAGTGCTGTAAGCCTTCAAGAGCTAATGGGATGCAATGGCGAGACATGGTTCTTCTTGTTTGAATAGTTGCAAATACATTATAATGATTATCTGGTATTTCTGTAATACTCTACTTCTTTTCTAACCACTTGCATGTGAAACAAAATGGTAACAACTTGCAGTTATATTGAAAAAAAAATACAACCAAACCCTATGATCATATATTGAGTGTGTTTCCTTTTATTGACTTGAATCTATTTATTGAATTTATAAATCGATGATGGATAGATATTAAAGTATTTATTGCAATAGGTCTCCTTCACAGTCACTAAGCTACAGAAGTAGAAATCTGAAAAAAAAAAAAAATGCAGAATAAACGACCTAAGCACATGGGGTTGGGAGGAGAATGAAATAGGGATGGGGCCTAACGTCCATCGTACAGCATATGAGGCATTTGCGGTGGGTGTCAAGCACAGCATTCACCCGATGAGGTGTGAACATATACCCTAAAGCACTCACATGCTTGGAAAACTACACTGCCTCGATGAAGTGACAAAAATACAATGATCTTCATCATTCAACTTTCAGCAGTGTTTCCCTATAATAGAGACTTTTTTTTGCTTGGACTGACAAAAGCAATAACAGCTCATTGTCCTTGAACCTTAAAGGAAGTGTTGTTTTTACCTTGTGCCATTCTTAACTGGTTCATATCTCCAGCCGACTGCATTCACTGGAATCACAACAGGCTTCGTACTGGCTACAAACGTAGATTCTGATAAAGACGCTGAATCACGTTGGGTTTTCTTCTTCCCTGCGTCCGTAAGCCTACTTTGAAAGAAGAAATCATGTAAACCTCGTGTTTACTAAGATAAAGTGTAATGAAAAAACTTTTACAACATCCCAACATTATCCACCTGCATTCAGTTATATTCTTAAAACTGTGATGAAGAAATAACCATTAGCAAGGAGAATACTCCTTGCTTCAAAGCCACATGTACAATTATGACACATTGTGATAGTAAAGAGTACATTTTTGACATGCTGGGAGGCTTCACACAGGTGGTATAAGAAATACAGCAGATCACCAAAGGCACTGGTGGAGAAACCACTCTACATAGACAATCGATCGTATACAGTATGATTGGCACTTCACATCTCTGTGTTTCCTAAGTACACATACCTGTGTTTCCTCTGTGTTTGAAAGGGAAAGAACAATAACTGAGAGTTCAGTGCACCCAGAAATTTTAAAACATATTCAATGCCACACTGAAAATCTGAGTTCACTGTGCAAAACTACTGCTGCTTAGACAAGAGACTAATTATTCAATGGGTACTGTTCTTTGGCCTTTGTATTGTTAATGTCAAAATGAGCACCTAATTGAACTTGTACTGGGAATATATATTAGAACATCTCTGATAAATTCTCATGGGTAAAAAAGATTTACTTTTAAAACCTTCACTACAGGTATCTTGCAGTGACATCAGGGTCATATGCACGTAAGATGTACCTCATCATTTCCCCTGCCACGAACCTCAAAATGGCATCACCCATAGACAAAAACAAAAGTTGTCTTTCTGATCTCAGTGATCCAGTACCATATACTCGGAGAGAGGACCCAGAGCAGGTGCAGTGAACACATGTGAGTAATTAAGGTACGGCCGGCAGCGCACATGCAACTATGGGCATCTATCATATTCAAGGAAGTAAAATTTATGGGGCCAAAGATCCTGGGAAACCTCAATTTGTCCGTAGGTAATGGGCTTTGAGAAGAAATAGGAAAAACAGACTGAGGTCAAAAAATGAGAAATGGGATGGAGAAACCTGGTAAGTGAGCTCTCCCACTGAAATTAACAGAGCCTAAAGTCAAATGAAAATATTACGTGGTGGGAGAATGACTGCCATCGAGGCAGACATTGCCCATGGGTCTAAAGAGATATGTGTTGTTATCATAGAGTGAAAAATCCTTGTAGCCTTTAGAAAGCAAGTTTGGACCATGCATGAGTTGGACCCTTACTGTTGGAAGTTCAAGAGTGAAAACAGGAGAGAATTGGAATAGAGAGTTCTATAAGCCGTCAAGAGCTCATGGGACACAATGGCGAGACATGGTTCTTCTTGTTGGAATAGTGGCAAATACATTACAATGAATATGTGGTATTTCTGTAACAGTCTACTTCTTTTCTAACGACTTGATTGTGAAAGAAAATGGTTAAAAACTTGCAGTTATTTTGAAAAAAAAATTACAACCAAACCCTATGATCATATATTGAGTGTGTTTCCTTTTATTGACTTGAATCTATTGACTGAATTTATGAATCCATAATGGATAGATATAAAAGTATTTATTGCACTAGGTCTCCTTCACAGTCACTAAGCTAAGGAACTAGAAATCTGAAAAAAAAAAAAAAATTGCAGAATAAATGACTGAAGCACAAGGGTTTGGGAGGAGAATGAAATAGGGATGGGGCCTAACGTCCATCATACAACATTATGAGGCCTTAGTGGTGGGTGCCAAGCACATCATTCACCCGATGAGTTGTGAACATATCCCCTAAAGCACAAATAGGCTTGGAAAACTACACTCCCAGGATGAAGTGACAAAAACACAATGGCCTATATCATTCAACTTTCAGCACTGTTTGCCTATAATAGAGACCTTTTTTGGCTTGGACTGACAAAAGCAATCACAGCTCATTGTCGTTGAACCTTAAAGGAAGAGTTGTTTTTACCTTGTGCCATTTTTATCTGGTTCATGTCTCCCGCCGACTACATTCACTGGAATCACAACAGGCTTCGTACTGGCTACAAATGCAGATTCTGGTAAAGACGCTGAACCACGTTGGGTTGTCTTCTTCCCTGTGTCCGTAAGCCTACTTTGAAAGAAGAAACCAAGTAAACCTCGATTTTCTGAGATAAAGTGTAATGAAAGAACTATTACAACATCTCAACATTATCCACCTGCATTCACTGATATATTCTTAAAATTGTGATGAAGAAATAACCATAGGCAAGCAGAATACTCCTTGCTTCAAAGCCACATGTACAATTATGACACAATGTGATAGTAAAGAGTACATTTCTGACATGCTGGGAGGCTTCACACAGGTGGTATAAGAAATAGAGCTGTTGGCCATTTGCATTTCCTCTTCAGAGAAGTTTCTTTTTAGCTTTTCTGGCCATTTTTTGACAACAGACATGTGAAAAAATGTTCAACAACACTTGTAATCAGGGAAATGCAAATCAAAACTACCATGAGATACCATCTTACACCAGTGAGAATGGCACATATGAAAAAAACTAGCAACAACAAATGTTGGCGAGGTTGTGGAGAAACAGGAACTCTTCTACACTGTTGGTGGGAGTGCAAACTGGTCCAACCACTATGGATAGCTGTGTGGAGATTTCTGGACCTACTAAACATAGAGCTTCCATATGATCCAGAAATTCCACTCCTAGGTATTTACCCAAAGGACACAGAAACATCAATTCCAAAGAACACCTGCACCCCTATGTTTATAGCAGCACTATTTACAATAGCTAAGCTTTGGAAACAACCCAAAAGCCCAAAAATAGATGACTGTATCAAGAAGATGTGGTACATATATACCAAGGAATATTACTCAGCATTCAAAAAAGATAAACACATGCAATTTGCAGCAACATGGATGGCGCTGGAAGGGATCATGCTCAGCGAAATAAGCCCAAAGAAAAAGAAAAATACCGGATGGTCTCACTCATAGCAGGAATCTAGAAAACTTAAATAAGGGACCAGGAAAATGAATAAGTATAAGAATGTGAAAATCAAAATCCACAAAAAACTATGAACCACAGACACTTTTTGGGGGTGGGGGGCAGGAGGGGAGGGATTGGGGTCAGAATGGGGTTGTTGCAATTGTATGGGGGAATATAAAAATTAAATTTATTATGTTAAAAAAATAAAAAATAAAAAGCAAAAAAAAAAAAAGAAAAAAGAAATAGAGCTGGTCACCAAAGGCACCGTTGGAGACACCACTCTACATAGACGATGGATCGTAAACAGTATGATTGGCACATCACATCTCTGTGTTTCCTAAGCATACATCTCTGTGTTTCCTCTGTGTTTGAAAGGGAAAGAGAAATAACTGAGAGTTCAGTGCACCCGGAAATTTTAAGACATATTCAATGCCACTCTGAAAATCTGAGTTCACTGTGGAAAACTACTGCTGCTTAGACAAGAGACTAATTATTCAATGGGTACTGTTCTTTGGCCTTTGTATTTTTTAATGTAAAAATGAGCACCTAATTAAAATTGTACTGGGAATATATATTAGAAGGTCTCTGATAAATTCACATGGGTGAAAAAGATTTACGTTTAAATATTCACTACGTGTATCTTGCAGTGATAGCAGGGTCATATGGACGTAAGATGTACCTCATCAGTCACGAAACTGCCACGAATCTTAAAATGGCATCACCCATAGACAAAAACAAAAGATGTCTTTCTGATCTCAGTGATCCAGTGCCAAATACACGGAGAGAGGACCAAGAGCAGGTGCAGTGAACACATGTCAGGAATTAAGGAAAGGCCGGCAGCGTACATGAAACTTTGGGCATCTATCAAATTCAAGGAGGGAAAAGTCATGGGACCAAAGATCCTGGGAAACCTCCATTTGTCCGTAGGTAATGGGCTTTGATAAGAAACAGGAAAAATAGACTGAGGTCAAAAAATGAGAAATGGGAGGGAGAAACCTGGTAAGTGAGCTGTCCCACTGAAATGAACCGAGCTTACATTCAAATGAAAATATTATGTGGTGGGAGAATGATTGCCATCGAGGCAGAAATTGCCCATGGGTCTAAAGAGATATGTGTTGTTATCATAGAGTGAAAAATCCTTGTAGCCTTTAGAAAGCAAGTTTGGACCATGCATGAGTGGGATCCTTACTGTTGAAAGTTGAAGAGTGAAAACAGGAGAGAATCAGAATAGACAGTACTGTAAGCCTTCAAGAGCTCATGGGATACAGTGGTGAGACATGGTTCTTCGTGTTTGAATAGTTGCAAATACATTACAATGATTATCTGGTATTTCTGTAATAGTCTACTTCTTTTCGAACCACTTGCTTGTGAAACAAAATAGTAAAACAACTTGCAGTTATATTGAAAAAAAAAAAAAGACAAACCCTATTATCATATATTGAGTGTTTCCTTTTATTGACCTGAATTTATTTACTGAATTTATGAATTGATGATGGATAGATATTAAAGTATTTATCGCACTAGGTCTCCTTCACAGTCACTAATATAAAGAACTAGAAATCTGAAAAAAAAAGCAGAATAAACGAAAGAAGCACAAGGGGTTGGGAGGAGAATGAAATAGGGATGGGGCCTAATGTCCGTCATACAGCATTATGAGGCATTAGTGGTGGGTGTCAAGCGCAGCATTCACCCGATGAATTGTGAACATATCCCCTAAAGCACACACAGGCTTGGAAAACTACACTCCCAGGATGAAGTGACAAAAACACAATGATCTACATCGTTCAACTTTCAGCACTGTTTGCCTATAATAGAGACTTTTTTTTGCTAGGACTGACAAAAGCAATCACAGCTCATTGTCCTTGAACCTTAAAGGAAGAGTTGTTTTTACCTTGTGCCGTTCTTATCTGGATCATGTCTCCCGCCAACTATATTCACTGGAATCACAACAGGCTTCGTACTGGCTACCAACGCAGATTCTGGTAAAGATGCTGAATCACGTTGGGTTGTCTTCTTCCCTGTGTCCGTAAGCCTACCATGAAAGAAGAAACCATGTAAACTTCCTGCTTTCCAATATAAAGGGTAATGAAAGAACTATTACAAATCCCAACATTATCCACCTGCATTCACTGATATATTCTTAAAACCGTGATTAAGAAATAGCCATAAGCTAGGAGAATACTCATTGCTTCAAAGCCACATGTACAATTATGACACAATGTGATAGTAAAGAGTACATTTTTGACATGCTGGGAGGCTTTACACAGGTGGTATAAGAGATACAGCAGGTCACCAAAGGTACTGGTGGAGAAACCACACTATATAGACAATGGACCGTAAACAGTATGATAGGGCACATCACATCTCTGTGTTTCCTAAGCACACATCTCTGTGTTTCCTCCGTGTTTGAAAGGGAAAGAACAATAACTGAGAGTTCAGTGCACACAGAAAGTTTAAAACATATTCAATGCCACACTGAAAATCTGAGTTCAATGTGGAAAACAAATGCTGTTTAGACAAGAGACTAATTATTCAATGGGTACTGTTCTTTGGCCTTTGTATATTTTAATGTAAAAATGAGCACCTAATTGAACTTGTACTGGGAATACATATTAGAAGGTCTCTGATAAATTCTCATGGGTGAAAAAGATTTACTTTAAAATATTCACTACATGTATCTTGCAGTGACATCAGGGTCATATGCACATAAGATGTACCTCATCAGTTTCACCTGCCACGAACCTCAAAATGGCATCACCCATAGACAAAAACAAAAGTTGTCTTTCTGATCTCAGTGATCCAGTACCATATACCCGGAGAGAGGACCGAGAGCAGGTGCAGTGAACACATGTCAGGAATTAAGGTAAGGCTGGCAGCGCACATGCAACTTTGGGCATCTATCATATACAAGGAGGGAAGAGTCATGGGGCCAAAGATCCTGGGAAACCTCAATTTGTCTGTAGGTAAAGGGCTTTGGGAAGAAATAGGAAAAATAGACTGAGGTCAAAAAACGAGAAATGGGAGGGAGAAACCTGGTAAGTGAGCTCTCCCACTGAAATTAACAGAGCCTAAACTCAAATGTAAATATTATGTGGTGGGAGAATGATTGCCATCGAGGCAGACATTGCCCATGGGTCTAAAGAGATATGTGTTGTTATCATAGAGTGAAAAATCCTTGTAGCCTTTAGAAAGCAAGTTTGGACCATGCATGAGTGGGACCCTTACTGTTGAAAGTTCGAGAGTGAAAACATGAGAGAATCGGAATAGAGAGTTCTATAAGCTGTCAAGAGCTCATGGGACACAATGGCGAGACATGGTTCTTCTTGTTGGAATAGTTGCAAATGCATTACAATGAATATGTGATATTTCTGTAACAGTCTACTTCTTTTCTAACGACTTGCTTGTGAAACAAAACGGTGAAAAACTTGCAGTAATTTTGAAAAAAAAAAAACAACCAAACCCTATGATCATATATTGAGTGTGTTTCCTTTTATTGACTTGAATCTATTTACTGAATTTATGAATCCATAATGGATATTAAAGTATTTATTGCACTAGGTCTCCTTCACAGTCACTAAGCTAAGGATAGAAATCTGAAAAAAAAAATTGCAGAATAAACGACTGAAGCACAAGGGTTTGGGAGGAGAATGAAATAGGGATGGGGCCTAACGTCCATCATACAACATTATGAGGCCTTAGTGGTGGGTGCCAAGCACATCATTCACCCGATGAGTTGTGAACATATCCACTAAAGCACACTCAGGCTTGGAAAACTACACTCCCAGGATGAAGTGACAAAAACACAACGATCTACATCGTTCAACTTTCAGCATTGTTTGCCTATAATAGAGACTTTTTTTTGCTTGAACTGACAAAAGCAATCACATCTCATTGTCCTTGAACCTTAAAGGAAGAGTTGTTTTTACCTTGTGCCATTTTTATCTGGTTCATGTTTCCCGCCGACTACATTCACTGGAATCAAAACAGGCTTCGTACTGGCTACAAACGCAGATTCTGGAAAAGACGCTGAATCACGTTGGGTTGTCTTCTTTCCTGTGTCCGTAAGCCTACTTTGTAAGAAGAAACCATGTAAACCTCGATTTTCTGAGATAAAGTGTAATGAAAGAACTATTACAACATCCCAACATTATCCACCTGCATTCACTGATATATTCTTAAAACTGTGATGAAGAAATAACCATAAGCAAGCAGAATACTCCTTGCTTCAAAGCCACATGTACAATTATGACACAATGTGATAGTAAAGAGTACATTTCTGACATGCTGGGAGGCTTCACACAGGTGGTATAAGAAATAGAGCTGTTGGCCATTTGCATTTCCTCTTCAAAGAAGTTTCTTTTTAGCTTTTCTGGCCATTTTTTGACAACAGACATATGAAAAAATGTTCAACAACACTTGTAATCAGGGAAATGCAAATCAAAACTACCATGAGATACCATCTTACACCAGTGAGAATGGCACATATGAAAAAAACTAGCAACAACAAATGTTGGCGAGGTTGTGGAGAAAAAGGATCTCTTCTGCACTGTTGGTGGGAGTGCAAACTGGTCCAACCACTATGGAGAGCTGTGTGGAGATTTCTGGACCTACTAAACATTGAGCTTCCATATGATCCAGAAATTCCACTCCTAAGTATTTACCCAAAGGACACAGAAACATCAATTCCAAAGAACACCTGCACCCCTATCTTTATAGCAGCACTATTTACAATAGCTAAGCTTTGGAAACAACCCAAAAGCCCAAAAATAGATGACTGTATCAAGAAGATGTGGTACATATATACCATGGAATATTACTCAGCATTCAAAAAAGATAAATGCATGCAATTTGCAGCAACATGGATGGCGCTGAAAGGGATCATGCTCAGTGAAAAAAGCCAAAAAGAAAAAGAAAAATACCGGATGGTCTCACTCATAGCAGGAATCTAGAAAACTTAAATAAGGGACCAGGAAAATGAATAACTATAAGAATGTGAAAATCAAAATCCAAAAAAACTATGAACCAGAGACACTTTTTGGGGGTTGGGGTGCGGGATGGGAGGGATTGGGGTCAGAATGGGGGGGTTGCTATTGTATGGGGGAATATAAAAATAAAATTTATTATGTTAAAAAAAATAAAAATAAAAACCAAAAAAAAAAAAAAAAAGAAACAGAGCTGGTCACCAAAGGCACCGTTGGAGCCACCAATCTACATAGACGATGGATCGAAAACAGTATGATTGGCACATCACATCTCTGTGTTTCCTAAGCACACATCTCTGTGTTTCCTCTGTGTTTGAAAGGGAAAGAACAATAACTGAGAGTTCAGTGCACCCGGAAATTTTAAGACATATTCAATGCCACTCTGAAAATCTGAGTTCACTGTGGAAAACTACTGCTGCTTAGACAAGAGACTAATTATTCAATGGGTACTGTTCTTTGGCCTTTGTATTTTTTAATGTAAAAATGAGCACCTAATTGAACTTGTACTGGGAATATATATTAGAAGGTCTCTGATAAATTCTCATGGGTGAAAAAGATTTGTGTTTAAATATTCACTACATGTATCTTGCAGTGATATCAGGGTCATATGGACGTAAGACGTAGCTCATCAGTCTCCCTGCCACGAACCTTAAAATTGCATCACCCATAGACAAATACGAAAGATGTCTTTCTGATCTCAGTTTTCCAGTGCCAAATACACGGCGAGAGGACCAAGAGCAGGTGCAGTGAACACATGACAGGAATTAAGGAAAGGCCGGCAGCGTACATGAAACTTTGGGCATCTATCATATTCAAGGAGGGAAAAGACATGGGACCAAAGATCCTGGAAAACCTCAATTTGTCTGTAGGTAATGGGCTTTGATAAGAAATAGGAAAAATAGACTGAGGTCAAAAACTGAGAAATGGGAGGGAGAAACCTGGTAAGAGAGCTCTCCCACTGAAATTAACAGAGCCTAAACTCAAATGAAAATATTATGTGGTGGGAGAATGATTGCCATCGAGGCAGACATTGCCCATGGGTCTAAAGAGATATGTGTTGTTATCATAGAGTGAAAAATCCTTGTAGCCTTTAGAAAGCAAGTTTGGACCATGCATGAGTGGGACCCTTACTGTTGAAAGTTCAAGAGTGAAAACAGGAGAGAATCGGAATAGAGAGTCTGTAAGCCTTCAGAGCTCATGGGACACAATGGCGAGACATGGTTCTTCTTGTTCGAAAACTGGCAAATACATAACAATGATTATGTGGTTTTTCTGTAATAGTCTACTTCTTTTCTAACCACTTGCATGTGAAACAAAATGGTTAACAACCTGCAGTTATATTGAAAAAAAAAAAAAAAAAACAACCAAACCCTATGATCATATATTGAGTGTGTTTCCTTTTATTGACTTGATTCTATTTACTGAATTTATGAATCGATGATGGATAGATATTAAAGTATTTATTGCACTAGGTCTCCTTCACAGTCACTAAGCTAAGGAACTAGAAATCTGAAAAAAAATGCAGAATAAACGACTGAAGCACAAGGGTTGGGAGGAGAATAAAATAGAGTTGGGGCCTAACGTCCCTCGTATAGCATTATGAGGCATTAGTGGTGGGTGTCAAGCACAGCATTCACCCGATGAGGAGTAAACATATCCCTGAAAGCATACACAGTCTTGGAACTACACTGCCTGGATGAAGTGACAAAAACACAATGATCTACATCATTCAACTTTCAGCAGTGTTTGCCTATAACAGAGACTTTTATTTGCTTGGACCAACGAAAGCAATCACAGCTCAGTGTCCTTGAACCTTAACGAAGAGTTGTTTTTACCTTGTGCCATTTTTATCTGGTTCATGTCTCCCGCCGACTACATTCACTGGAATCACAATAGGCTTCGTATTGGTTACAAACACAGATTCTGGTAAAGACACTGAATCACGTTGGATTGTCTTCTTCCCTGTGTCTGTGAGCCTACTTTGAAAGATGAAACCTTGTAAACCTTGTGTTTTCTAAGATAAAGTGTAATGAAACAACTTTTACAACATCCCAACATTATCCACCTGCATTCACTGATATATTCTTAAAACAAACTGTGATGAAGAAATAACCATAAGCAGGGAGAACGCTCCTTGCTTCAAAGCCACATGTACAATTATGACACAATGTGATAGTAAAGACTACATTTTTGACATGCTAGGAGGTTTCACACAGGTTGTATAAGAAATACAGCAAGTCACCAAAGGCACTGGTGGAGAAACCACACTACATAGACAATGGATCATAAACAGTATGATTGGCACTTGCATCTCTGTGTTTCCTAAGCACACATCTCTGTGTTTCCTCTGTGTCTGAAAGGGGAAGAACAATAACTGAGAGTTCAGTGCACAGAGAAAGTTTAAAAGATATTCAATGCCACACTGAAAATCTGAGTTCACTGTTGAAATCTACAGCTGCTTAGACAAGAGACTAATTATTCAATGGGTACTGTTCTTTGGCCTTAGTATTTTTTAATGTAAAAATGAGCACCTAATTGAACTTGTACTGGGAATATATATTAGAAGGTCTCTGATAAATTCTAATGGGTGAAAAAGATTTACTTTAAATTATTCACTACATGTATCTAGCAGTGACATCGGGGTCATATGCACGTAAGATGTACGTCATCATTTCCCCTGCCACGAACCTAAAAAATGGCATCACCCATAGACAAAAGCAAAAGTTGTCTTTCTGATCAGTGATCCAGTACCATATACTCGGAGAGAGGAACCAGAGAGGTGCAGTGAACACATGTCAGGAATTAAGGTAAGGCCAGCAGCGTAAATGCAACTTTGGACATCTATCATATTCAAGGAGGTAGAAGTCATGGGGTCAAAGATCCTTGGAAACCTCAATTTGTCTGTAGGTAATGGGCTTTGAGAAGAAATAGGAAAAACGGACTGAGGTCAAAAAGCGAGAAATGGGAGGGAAAAACCTGGTAAGTGAGCTCTCCCACTGAAGTTAACAGAGCCCAACTCAAATGAAAATATTATGTTGTGGGAGAATGATTGCCATCGAGACAGACATTGCACATCGGTCTAAAGGGATATGTGAAGTTATCACAGAGTGAAAAATCCTTGTACCCTTTAGAAAGCAAGTTTGGACCATGCATGAGTGGGACCCTGACTGTTGAAAGTTCAAGAGTGAAAATAGGAGAGAATGGGAATAGACAGTGCTGTAAGCCTTCAAGAGCTCATGGGATGCAATGGCGAGACATGGTTCTTCTTGTTTGAATAGTTGCAAATACATTATAATGATTATCTGGTATTTCTGTAATACTCTACTTCTTTTCTAACCACTTGCATGTGAAACAAAATGGTAACAACTTGCAGTTATATTGAAAAAAAAAATACAACCAAACCCTATGATCATATATTGAGTGTGTTTCCTTTTATTGACTTGAATCTATTTATTGAATTTATAAATCGATGATGGATAGATATTAAAGTATTTATTGCAATAGGTCTCCTTCACAGTCACTAAGCTACAGAAGTAGAAATCTGAAAAAAAAAAAAATGCAGAATAAACGACCTAAGCACATGGGGTTGGGAGGAGAATGAAATAGGGATGGGGCCTAACGTCCATCGTACAGCATATGAGGCATTAGCGGTGGGTGTCAAGCACAGCATTCACCCGATGAGGTGTGAACATATACCCTAAAGCACTCACATGCTTGGAAAACTACACTGCCTCGATGAAGTGACAAAAATACAATGATCTTCATCATTCAACTTTCAGCAGTGTTTCCCTATAATAGAGACTTTTTTTTTGCTTGGACTGACAAAAGCAATAACAGCTCATTGTCCTTGAACCTTAAAGGAAGTGTTGTTTTTACCTTGTGCCATTCTTAACTGGTTCATATCTCCAGCCGACTGCATTCACTGGAATCACAACAGGCTTCGTACTGGCTACAAACGTAGATTCTGATAAAGACGCTGAATCACGTTGGGTTTTCTTCTTCCCTGCGTCCGTAAGCCTACTTTGAAAGAAGAAACCATGTAAACCTCGTGTTTACTAAGATAAAGTGTAATGAAAAAACTTTTACAACATCCCAACATTATCCACCTGCATTCAGTTATATTCTTAAAACCGTGATGAAGAAATAACCATAAGCAAGGAGAATACTCCTTGCTTCAAAGCCACATGTACAATTATGACACAATGTGATAGTAAAGAGTACATTTTTGACATGCTGGGAGGCTTCACACAGGTGGAATAAGAAATACAGCAGGTCACCAAAGGTACTGGGGGAGAAACCACTCTACATAGACGATGGATCGTAAACAGTTTGATAGGGCACATCACATGTCCGTGTTTCCTAAGCATACATCTCTGTGTTTCCTCTGTGTTTGAAAGGGAAAGAACAATAACTGAGAGTTCAGTGCACCCAGAAATTTTAAAACATATTCAATGCCACACGAAAATCTGAGTTCACTGTGGAAAACTACTGCTGCTTAGACAAGAGACTATTTAATCAATGTGTACTGTTCTTTGGCCTTTGTATTTTTTAATGTAAAAATGAGCACCTAATTGAACTTGTACTGGGAATATATATTAGAAGGTCTCTGATAAATTCTCAAGGGTGAAAAAGATTTACTTTTAAAACATTCACTACAGGTATCTTGTAGTGACATCAGGGTCATATGCACGTAAGATGTACCTCATCAGTTTCCCCTGCCACAAACCTCAAAAAGGCATCACCCATACACAAAAACAAAAGTGGTTTTTCTGATCTCAGGGAACCAATACCATTTACCCGGAGAGAGAACCCAGAGCAAGTGCAGTGAATCATGTCAGGAATTAAGATAAGGCCAGCAGCGTACATGCAATTTTGGGCAACTATCATATTCAAGGAGTAAAAGTCATGGGGCCAAAGATCCAGGGAAATGTCAATTTGTCTGTAGGTGCTTTGAGAAGAAATAGGAAAAACAGACTGAGGTCAAAAAATGAGAAATGGGAAGGAGAAACCTGGTAAGTGAGCTCTCCCACTGAAATTAACAGAGCCTAAACTCAAATGAAAATATTATGTGGTGGGAGAATGATTGCCATCGAGGCAGACATTGCCCATGGGTCTAAAGAGATATGAGTTGTTATCATAGAGTGAAAAATCCTTGTAGCCTTTAGAAATCAAGTTTGGACCATGCATGAGTGGGACCCTTGCTGTTGAAAGTTCAAGAGTGAAAACAGGAGAGAATCGGAATAGACAGTTCTGTAAGCCGTCAAGAGCACGTGGGATACAATGGCGAGACACGGTTCTTCTTGTTTGAATAGTTGCAAATACATTACAATGATTATCTGGTATTTCTGTAATAGTCTACTTCTTTTCTAACCACTTGCATGTGAAACAAAATGGTTAACAACTTGAAGTTGTATTGGAAAAATAAAAAGCAACCAAAACGTATGATCAATATTGAGTGTTTTGTTTTATTGACTTGAATATATTTACTGATTTATGAATCGATGATGGATAGATATTAAAGTATTTATTGCACTAGGTCTCCTTCACAGTCACTAAGCTAAGGAACTAGAAATCTGAAAAAAAAAATGCAGAATAAACGACTGAAGCACAAGGGTTTGGGAGGAGAATGAAATAGGGATGGGGCCTAACGTCCGTCATATAGCATTATGAGGCATTAGTGGTGGGTGTCATGCACAACATTCACCCGATGAGGAGTGAGCATATCCCCGAAAGCACACACAGGCTTGGAAAACTACACTGCCTTGAGAAGTGACAAAACCACAATGAACTACATCATTCAACTTTCAGCAGTGTTTGCCTATAATAGAGACTTTTTTTTTGCTTGGACTGACAAAAGCAATCACAGCTCATTGTCCTTGAACCTTAACGAAGAGTTGTTTTTACCTTGTGCCATTTTTATCTGGTTCATGTCTCCCGCCGACTACATTCACTGGAATCACAACAGGCTTCGTACTGGCTACAAACGCAGATTCTGGTAAAGACGCTGAATCACGTTGGGTGTCTTCTTCCCTGTGTCCGTAAGCCTACTTTGAAAGAAGAAACCATGTAAACCTCATGTTTTCTAAGATAAAGTGTAATGAAACAACATTTACAACATCCCAACATTATCCACCTGCATTCACTGATATATTCTTAAAACTGTGATGAAGAAATAACCATTAGCAAGGAGAATACTCCTTGCTTCAAAGCCACATGTACAATTATGACACATTGTGATAGTAAAGAGTACATTTTTGACATGCTGGGAGGCTTCACACAGGTGGTATAAGAAATACAGCAGATCACCAAAGGCACTGGTGGAGAAACCACTCTACATAGACAATCGATCGTAAACAGTATGATTGGCACTTCACATCTCTGTGTTTCCTAAGTACACATACCTGTGTTTCCTCTGTGTTTGAAAGGGAAAGAACAATAACTGAGAGTTCAGTGCACCCAGAAATTTTAAAACATATTCAATGCCACACTGAAAATCTGAGTTCACTGTGCAAAACTACTGCTGCTTAGACAAGAGACTAATTATTCAATGGGTACTGTTCTTTGGCCTTTGTATTGTTAATGTCAAAATGAGCACCTAATTGAACTTGTACTGGGAATATATATTAGAACGTCTCTGATAAATTCTCATGGGTAAAAAAGATTTACTTTTAAAACCTTCACTACAGGTATCTTGCAGTGACATCAGGGTCATATGCACGTAAGATGTACCTCATCATTTCCCCTGCCACGAACCTCAAAATGGCATCACCCATAGACAAAAACAAAAGTTGTCTTTCTGATCTCAGTGATCCAGTACCATATACTCGGAGAGAGGACCCAGAGCAGGTGCAGTGAACACATGTGAGTAATTAAGGTACGGCCGGCAGCGCACATGCAACTATGGGCATCTATCATATTCAAGGAAGTAAAATTTATGGGGCCAAAGATCCTGGGAAACCTCAATTTGTCCGTAGGTAATGGGCTTTGAGAAGAAATAGGAAAAACAGACTGAGGTCAAAAAATGAGAAATGGGATGGAGAAACCTGGTAAGTGAGCTCTCCCACTGAAATTAACAGAGCCTAAAGTCAAATGAAAATATTATGTGGTGGGAGAATGACTGCCATCGAGGCAGACATTGCCCATGGGTTTAAAGAGATATGTGTTGTTATCATAGAGTGAAAAATCCTTGTAGCCTTTAGAAAGCAAGTTTGGACCATGCATGAGTGGGACCCTTACTGTTGAAAGTTCAAGAGTGAAAACAGGAGAGAATGGGAGTAGACAGTTCTGTAAGCCTTCAGAGCTCATGGGACACAATTTCGAGACATGGTTCTTCTTGTTTGAATAGTTGCAAAAACATTACAATGATTATTAGATATTTCTGTAATGGTCTACTTCTTTTCTAACCACTTGCATGTGAAACAAAATGGTTAACAACTTGCAGTTATATTGAAAAAAGAAAAAACAACCAAACCCTATGATCATATATTGAGTGTGTTTCCTTTTATTGACTTGAATCTATTTACTGAATTTATGAATCGATGATGGATAGATATGAAAGTATTTATTGCACTAGGTCTCCTTCACAGTCACTAAGCTAAGGAACTAGAAATCTGAAAAAAAATATGCAGAATAAACGACTGAAGCAAAAGGGTTTGGGAGGAGAATGAAATAGGGATGGGGCCTAACGTCCATTGTACTGCATTATGAGGCATTAGTGGTGGGTGTCAAGCACAGCATTCACCCGATGAATTGTGAACATATCCCCTAAAGCACACACAGGCTTGGAAAACTACACTGCCTCGAAGAAGTGACAAAAACACAATGATCTACATCATTCAACTTTTAGCAGTGTTTCCCTATAAAGAGACTTTTTTTTTGCTTGGACTGACAAAAGCAATCATAGCTCATTGTCCTTGAACCTTAAAGGTAGTGTTGTTTTTACCTTGTGCCTTTCTTATCTGGATCATGTCTCCCGCCAACTACATTCACTGGAATCAAAACAGGCTTCGTACTGGCTACAAACACAGATTCTGGTAATGACGCTGAATCACGTTGGGTTGTCTTCTTCCCTGTGTCTGTAAGCCTACTTTGAAAGAAGAAACCATGTAAACCTCGTGTTTTCTAAGTTAAAGTGTAAGGAAACAACTTTACAACATCCCAACATTATCCACCTGCATTCACTGATATATTCTTAAAACCGTGATGAAGAAATAACCGTAAGCAAGGAGAATACTCCCTGCTTCAAAGCCACATGTACAATTATGACACAATGTGATAGTAAAGAGTACATTTTTGACATGCTGGGAGGCTTTACACAGGTGGAATAAGAAATACAGCAGGTCACCAAAGGTACCAGTGGAGAAACCACTTTACATAGACGATGGATCGTAAACAGTATGATAGGGCACATCACATCTCTTTTTTAAGCACACATCTCTGTGTTTCTTCTGTGTTTGAAAGGGAAAGAACAATAACTGAGAGTTCAGTGCACACAGAAATTTTAAAACATATTCAATGCCACACTGAAAATCTGAGTTCACTGTGCAAAACTACTGCTGCTTAGACAAGAGGCTAATTATTCAATGTGTACTGTTCTTTGGCCTTCGTATTTTTTAATGTCAAAATGAGCACCTAATTGAACTTGTACTGGGAATATATATTAGAAGGTCTCTGATAAATTCTCATGGGTGAAAAAGATTTACTTTTAAAACATTCACTACAGGTATCTTGCAGTGACATCAGGGTCATATTCACGTAAGATGTACCTCATCAGTTTCACCTGCCACGAACCTCAAAATGGCATCACCCATAGACAAAAACAAAAGTTGTCTTTCTGATCTCAGTAATCCAGTACGATATACCCGGAGAGAGGACCCAGAGCAGGTGCACTGAACACATGTCAGAAATTAAGGTAAGGCTGGTAGCGTAAATGCAACTTTGGGCATCTATCATTTTCAAGGAAGTAAAAGTCATAGGGCCAATGTTCCTGGGAAACCTCAATGTAATGACGTCACTGTAATGTCCAAAGAAGTCTCCGCTACTCAAAACAACAATTTGTCATCTGTCATGTATAAAAATAATTGCAATTATGTCCTGATTGACCCAGAAACGCACATCATTTGAGGAGCCCAGCTGCAAGTGCAGGATGTATAGGTCGGGAATTAAGATACCTGTAGTGTAACTATAACTTTGGACATCTTTAGCATATTCATGGAAGTAAAAGTTATGGATAGAAGACCTGGGATACTTCAACTTGTGCGAAGGCAATGGGGTTGAAAAGATGTAGGAAAAACTAATTGAAGTCAAAGTATAAGAAATGGGATTAGGATACCAGGCCAGTGAGTTCTCCCCTGAAATTTCCATAGCATAGAGTCCAATGAAGAAAATGTGTTGAAGGAGAGTGATTTCCATTGAGGCAGACATAGCCCATGGGTCTAAAAAGCTATGTGTCAATATCACAAATTGAAAAATCTGTGGTAACCATTAGAAAGCAAATTTTGAGCAGGAATGTGTGGGACCATTACTGCTGTAAGTTCAAGAATGAAAACAAGAGAAACTGGGGATAGGTAGTTTTGTTGGCCTTAAGAGCTCATGGCATACCATGGTGGGTTACAATTCTTTTTTTGACTAGTTTGCAATACACAATCATGATTATTTAGTATTTCAGTAATAACCTACTTCTTTTCTAATTAGCTCCATGTGACACATTTATCAGAAAAGTAAAGGAAAATTCAAAAATAAAATGTCTCCTGATTGTGTTTCTATATTGAATTTAACCTATTTTTTGAGTTTATGAATGGATGCAGAAAGATATTAAAGTGTGTATGCAATGAATCTCCTCCTCACACTCACTAAACAAAGGTACTAGAAAACAAAACAAAAGAAGCCAAGACTATCGGACTACAACTGAGTGCACTGGAAAAGGATCACAAAGCATTGCAGGGTTAGAACTAAACAGACAGGGAACCAAACCTACAGGAAAGCAATATGGATACACTGGTGGTTGCTGTCGGCAGGAATATTCATCTGATGAAGTAGCCACACCTATGTGGCTTGGTGTAGGTCTCATTATATTTAAATAACCAAGTATTCTTTTAGCTTTGTGGACCTGTATAATTTATTCCTCTCTCAGGTTTGGGAAGTTTTTCTCCTACTATTTCTTTGAAATAAGTTCTCTGCTCTGTCCCCCCTCTTCTGGAGTACCTGATATCCTTATGAGCCTTTTCTAATGGAATCAGGTAGTTATTCAAATGTCTCTTCATTTACTTTTGTTTTTCTTTCTCTTTCTTCTCCCACCTGGGTCCTTTGAGACCACTGATTCATTCCCCACTTGGTGTAATCTATTTTCATAGCTGTCTCCAGAAACTGTTATCTCCTCTATTGGTCTTTTTACAATCCTACAATTCTGTTATTTTCTTATTTAAATCACTATTTTTATTTCTCATGACATTTGTTCTATCACTCTAATTAGCTTTTCTAAGTTCCTGTGTTCACTTTGACTTGCCTTTCCATGTTTTCTTCCACTTCTTTATGACAATTTTTAAGTCTGTATTTGATAAGAGATTAAGTTTTCCTTGTATTTGTGGTTGAACATCGGATATTTCTCTCCTTATGAATACACAGTCCCTTGATAGCTCAATGTGTCTTGTGTTGTATTTCTTTGCCTTCTAATTTTGCTGCTTTAGATTTCCCGATTTGTTAAAGTACTTACAGCACTTACTTCAAGATAGAAAATATGCTTGAAATTCTGAAAGACGTCATTGAGTTCCCCTTCAGAATGAACTTACCAAATTCCTCTATCAAAGTGTCTAAGAATACCCCTCACATTTATCAACACTTGTTATTATTGTTTTAATGAAGTACTTATCATTATGATTTTAAACATGTTATCTCATTATTAATTTGCATTTTTATGACTACTCAGCAAATTTAGATATCTCTAGCAAAAAAACTGAAGTTGTTAATCATTATACTCACTCAAATTTGAATAACATAAAAAATAACTAGTACCTATAGTAAAATATTATTACCTATAAGGATCTTCTTTGGTCATTGAAATAGAACAGTGCTGATTATCAGTTTTTCCACTCTTTGCTTGTTGAGTTAATCCACTGCTGACAATATCAGAATCAGATATGTCTTCTAATATCAAGTCACCACAGTCGTGCTTCTTTCCTTCATGAACCTTTAATCAAAGTTTGATATTAGGGATCATTGCTATTACTTTATTTATTTTAAGAACTTTTTGTTTTCACTACTTTTGTAATTTTACTCAGTTTCTTATGATTTTAATAAGTACTAATATTCCCCCCGCCCCAATGTTTTTCCTTCAAAACTTTCACAGGGTCTGGAACCCTTGCAGGCCTGAAAATGAAGGAGGAGGAAATCCTCACATTCCTTGCAGCAGGAACCCATTTACGCGCCACTAACCTTGACTTCCAAATGGAACAGTACATCTACAAGGGGAAATGTGATGGTACTTACATCACAAATTTGAAGATAACCTGCAAGTAGCTTCCATAGGTGGCTCGAGCTGTATTGTCATTGAAACTGGCTGATATCAGTGTCATATCTTCCAGGAACACTAGCCAGCAAGTTGTGCTGAGATTTGTTGCTGCCACCGGAACCACTCACGTTGCCCATTTCAGTCCTGGAATCTTCAATGACAGGATCTACGTAGCCTTCTAGGAGCCAGCACTATCATGGCTACTGGTCCCAGGACTGACTGCCAACCTAATCTCACAGAGACATCTTAACTTTAAACCTGCCTATCACTGTTCAGATAACACAGACTCTCCTCAGTGCTATGTGAATTTGTCATCATATGCAGCAAGGGAGTCTGAGGTGGTGGATGTTGGCCTATTCAGTTGGAAGAATATTCTTTTACCGTTTACAATACCATATTATTTCCATAGAAATACTGATGATTTATCACAAAAGGTGGAATCCAACATTTTATTAAGAAAGGAAACTCAATGGTGAAATTTACCATTAATGAATTAGTTACTAAAAATTTTACTAAAAGAGAAAACAATTGAATAAAATAGCAAAGTAGTTCCAAATACTCTTCTTTAAGGTCTTTAACCAAAAACTTGAGTTATGTTAACTCAAAAAAAAAAGCATGTAAGCTTTCATAAGAGAAGAATATTTATTAATTCTCTAAAATGTGCTAAGCCTTCACAAATATCTTCAACACAGAAAAGAAGGGATTATGATGATGCTTACCCCACTTCCTGCTTCCTTGTTAGAAATTCTGACATGTTTAAATAAAATGAACAGATATGACTTACTGTTTTCTCTCATCAGAATGTCCTTCTTCTACATCTTCACATGACTGACTCCTTCTCATCCTTCCCTTGGCAGCTTTTGGCTCACTCAGAGAGATCACTTTTGACCATCAAAATACTACTGCTACTCCCATTCCCACCCTGACTATGAACTCCCCCAATCTATTCTAACCTAAAATTCTCATGTTTCTTTATATGAAATACTTAGACTTACAATGAATCAGCTGCTAATTTTTCTGCTCCTGCAACTTCTACCGATCAACTTGTACATGCAGTATCTAAATGCCATGCACATCGTTGGTATTCAATGATAGAAACTTTAATAGTCAAAACCTTAAAAATATTATGAAGAAGGTTTCAAATACCAAACCACAATATACGACTTATCACTATACAAAGGATATCACTAATAATAGCCCTCTTAACATAGCCCTAATAAGAAATCCAAATGCCAATTTTAACACTCCCATTCTTTTCTGATACCACTACCATTTGATTGTCCTTCACAGTTTCAAAAAGTTCTTCAATATTTAGAAAGCACTAAATATCATCCTGATGGCATTGTCGTATTTCTATAACAATCTTTATAGTTTACCAATTATTTTTATTTGTTACTACATCTGTTCATTACATATACCTGAGAAGAAAGTATGAGTATCATTTTTATAAACAAGGTCATGGGCATACAAAGAGGTTCAATAATTTTGTTCAAGATTCCGTGGCTAGTAAGTGACACAGCCAAGATACTAACATGTCTTTTGATTTCAAATATGGTGTTTGTAACATTGTGCAAGACCTACGCTCACTAGTCTTTTTGTTACTCTCATGTATATCACAGAATAATGACTGGCCTTAGGGAGACCCGAAATAATTCTTTAGTTTTTAGATAAAATTAACTTCATAACACAACATGATTTTGTATGACTTCTAAGCCTTAGTTTTTGGCACTATACCAAACTAGTTCCATTAAGTGCATTTTGCCAATTAGCAGACTTATATGATGTAATAGTGGTGGTAGTACACTTAGCACATAATTTTTTTATTAAGTGCACATAAGAAAGTGAAAATCAAAATCAACAAAAAACTATGAACCAGAGACACTTTTAGGGGGGCGGGGGTGGGAGGGGAGGGATTGGGGTCAGAATGGGGGGGCTGCAATTGTATGGGGAATATAAAAATAAAATTTATTATTCAAAAAAAATAAATAAAATAAAAATAAAAACTCTAACGGAATAATTTTATGGCAAACAGAAGTGGGAAAGTAAAGTCAAAGAATGTTCTTTATATTTTGAATAACATTCCAATGCTTATATTTTAAAATGATACCATCCCTGGGTGGAATGAGGTCCCAGTGACAGACCCTCTACAACCAATGGCCACACCCACCCTCCCAGCAATCAGAACAAAGCCAAAGGGCTTTGGGGAAGGCTCTAGGATCACTCCAGATCCAACAATACTCCAGTAACTATACCCAACATCTAATGAATACCCAAAGCAGTGGAAAAGACACACAACAAAACCCAAAACTACAGCAGAGAAAATCCACAACCAAAAATGGGCAGGAATAAAAATATGAAATGCCAGGCAAGCCATCAGGGAAATAACACACCACTAGAGAAACAAAACTCCAGAACCAAACTACAAACACATAGAAGAGCTCTTTGACCAATCAGATGCAGAATTCAAGTATACCATGGTTAAGAAAATGTCAAAATGGGAATAAACAAATCTCAGAAAGGGAAATGAACACTATGAGAAACCCAATCAGCAACAATGATTGAAAGTGTGACTTTAAACAGGAAATTAACAGAAATACAGGAGGAAACAAAAAATTCAGGAGAAAGCCATGAAATTAGAATAAATCAAGTGGAAGAGCAAATCAGTGATCTCAAGAATCAAAAAGAGGTAAGAAGCAAGATAGAAAAGGGGAAGGACTGAAGAAATCCTTTGAGAATTATCTGACAGCATGAATCACAGGAATCAAAGATGGAGAAGAAAGAGAATGGCACTGAGAATTGATTAAGGGAAATAGCGCCTGAGAAATTCCCAACCTTGAAAAAGGAAATGAACATAGAAATACAGGAAGCAAAGGGAACACCAAGCTACTGTTAGGGGGAAATTATGTCCTGAACAAGCTCCACATGGGTTTTGTGGACTCCACCCCCACTCCAGACCAAAGCCATTGAGACCCTGGGAACTACAAATCCCATCATCACCCAAAGGAGAGTTGCTGGGAACTGAGGGTGGAGCTAAGAAGCCAGGCTTGGTATAAAACCAGACAGGTGGGCCTTGGTGTTCCCCATGGCCTCTCAGCTCTTGGCTTGACTCTTGGCTTTTTGCCATTGGGATTCCAGCTCAGTGGAACTAGTAGGATGCATTCATGAATTATCTCCATATTTGTCCCTGAGTTAATCATTTCTTCATTTCCCCTTCTTTTGTAAATAAACCCTTTATTAACCTTTTTGTTTTGTGCCTGCAGTTGAGTATTATTATAACTCCCTTTTAAGCTCACGGGTGAGGACCCACAGTCAAGCAACCCGTTTCATATTTGGGTTGCCCTGTAACACTACCTAGATAAAAGGAAAACTACTGCCAGTCACAGAATAGTGAAAACCCAAAAGTCTAAGATACAGAAAAAAATAATGAAGCTGATGGGGTGGAAGAAACAGATAACCTATAAAAGAACACTGATAAAACAAACATATCTCCCTGAAGAAACAATATGGGCAGGAAGATAATGAAGTGACATTCAAAATACTCATAAGGAAAAATAATGCTAGATAATACTCTATCCTACAAGGCTTTCCTTTTTATACAAGAGAGAGATTGGAAGTTTGCATCCATTAAACCTCTCCTCCAAGAAATATTAAAAGAAGCTTTAGGATCTAAAGCAGAGAGAGGGACAAATGCAATTTAGTGAGGAATTAAAAGAACCACATCTTGGAACAAAATGGCAGTGATGGACTTTCATATGCAAATAATTACTCTAAACATTCATGGACTGAATTCACCAATAAAAAGACACAGAGTACATAGTTGGGTTAGGAAACTGAATCCAATCTTCTGCTGCCTCCTAGAAACACATTTAAGTACCAAGGAGAAAGGTAGACTGAAAGTAAAGGAATGGAAAACTATCCTGTAAGTAAACGACACCCAAAGGAAGGCAGGAAAAGCCATACTTACATATCAAACAAAATAGACATCTAGCTTAAAAAAGTAAAAAGAGATGGGGAATGACTCTATACCATGATAAAGAGAACAATACAACAGGGAGACATAACACTCATCAATATGTACTCAACAAACAAAGGAGCACCAAAATACATCAGACAGCTACTATCAAATCTGAAAACAGACATTGGAGAAAATTCATATGTGTGGGTGCTGTGCCTGGATCTTTCTTCCTCAATGACGGCACAGTCATTATGTTGGAATATTCTGACCAGTTTGTACCTTGACCTGGAATGTTCTGATTAATCTATATTTAAACCGATCTAGTTGTACACTACATTACTGAATGATGGCCCCAAGGACTACGGGCCCCACTGTGAAGTAGGCCTGGGGATGCCTAGGTAGCCATTGATAGGATGTGTTGGTCTCTGTGCAGGGATGGCCTAGGAAATGTTTCAAGATAACATCAAGACATTCCAAAGGGATCTGAGAAGTAGTTTAAGCAGATTATGTATAGATTATGTATGCTATTATCTCTGGTAAACAGACTCCTCCTTCTCCTCCCACTCCACCTCCCTCTAGCCCCCATGCAATCATTTTTTTTAAAAAGATTTATCTATTGGGCCTCCCCAGTGGCGGTGGTGCAGTGGTTGAGCGCTGAGCTGCAAAGCTGCCCGCAGCCTCTGCAGCGCTGGTTCGATCCACGGCCACCGGTAAGGGTCCCACATGGCGTGCAGACCTCTCCTGCCATGACCGCTGCTCCCCTCAGCAGTGTACTTCGTCAGTCTGCCTGCTCTGGCTCTGGTGAATTCTCTCACCCTCCTGCGCTTCTGACTGTACCTAGTGCTTGTATAAATAAATTAATCTTAAAAAAACAAAAAAGATTTATCTATTTATGCATATAAGAACTGGGGTACAGGCCAGAGGTGTGGGGGCGAGGGGCTTCACCAAAAAAAGAGTGGGGTACAGAAAAAGCATACCGACTGAAACACACTGCTAAGGGGAGGTGCAGGCCAGTCAGGAGAGGTCTGCTGCACCATGTAGGTCACCTCCCCCGCTAGAGTTTGAACCCATGCTGCAGTGGCTGCAGACAGCCCCACAGTACTGTGACTGAAACTTCTGCACCACCAGGGAGCCCCTCCCCCAGGCATTCTTGAAATTGTATACTTCCTGTAATCTTTTTTCTCCTATATTGCATGATCAATGACAGAGTGATGGAGGAAGGAGATACAAGGCCAAGAACCTAACTCATACAAGGAGGTAAGGGTAGAAGGGATTAGCGTAATCCATTAACCCAGTTACAGAAACCAAGACTCTTAGTCATCAACGCCCAGATCAGGAGGTGCAACACCCAGAAATTATCAGACTGCCATAGAGGCACAAACCATCCACCCACAAAGATTAGGCCCTTCCTGAAGATTATAAAACCTAAGGCAGCTCCCAACAGGGCAACACTCTGTCTGCCCACCTGTGACTATGCAGGGTCTTCTTCTCACCAAACTTCTCCCTCTGCAGGGCAGCAGCCTTCCTGCCTGTCCATGACCTACACCATGCCAGGACTTCTCCTCACTGACCTCCCTCAGTGGAGGCGGCTCTCCTCAATGCCGCCCACCTGCAACCATGCAGGCCTCTATTAGCAAACCTGTCCCTTTTGGAACAGCTCTTTCTGCCCACTTGTGTCTATGCAAGTGTCTTTTACTGTCCTGTTCCTTTTCTAATAAACCTGCTATTTAAACATAACTACTGGGGACTCCCTGACAGTGCAGGCAGTTGAGCACAGTCCTGTGAAGCTGTCCACAGCCTCTGCAGTGTCGGTTCGATCCCCACAGGCGCGGAGCAACCCACAAGGTGCAGCACACCTCTCCTGTCTCACCTGCTGCTCCCCTCAGCAGTGTATTTCAGTAGATCTGCCTGTTCTGTTCCTTGCTCTGTCTCTGTTGAATCCACTCACCCTCCTGCACATCTGGTCTATACCCCGGTTCTTGTATAAATAAAATAAATCTTTAAAAAAATAAATATAACCATCACCTCTGTCTCGTGGAGAAACTCGCTGCATGTCACTGAAACAGGAGCTCTGGTGAAAACTTTCCCAGGGTGAACCCAAGGACCCTGCACTCCAAAAAACCACATCATTTTGGCTCCCAACATTTGGTTTTCCATGGCATCAGTAAGATTTCTCCAGTTTTCTCTATCTTCATGCTATTATAACCTCCTTTTTGAGAGGAGTTGGTGTTTGGCGACTGTTTGGCTGTCCTACAAAGACTGAGGGGCTCAGGCCAAGGCTACTCTTTGGCGGGTCCCAAAACATGGAGGCACGACCTTCCAGTTGCCCTAAGCCCGACGAGTGAACACCTCATGCCTCTCTCTTTGCCTCACTCCGTTGCTAATCAATCTCAGTCGAGCCGCTGTTCCCTCTCTACCTGGGGAACAGAGCTGGCTCCTGAGTTCTGTTTTCAAACTAGGTCTCACTCTTGCCGCAAAAAAAAAAAAAAAAAAAAAAATAGTGGACACGGGTCAGCCATGTAAAAGGCCACTAGGGCCGGCTGCTGCTTTCTAGAAGTCTCCCGTGAAAGGATAAGTTGGCGTGCACCCTGGGTTAGCTCTAGTCCTGCCAACCGCAAGAAGGGTGCAGCAATGCAGGAACTCCTAATAAGCATTCCACATGTCCCATCCCGCAGCTCTCCACCTCTTGGGATTGTAAAAACGAGACCTGGACCTGCTTTTCATGACCAATTTTCTAGTGCTCTTCCCTAACTCGAACCACATTCGTTCACTACTTCCTTTTCATCATAATCAACTGCAATGAGCCACAAGTAGCCAGGAACCCATCCGGCCTTGTTCTTGGTCAGGTAGTGCTCCCCCTCTGAAAGTTCCCCCTCTCTGAATTCTTGTCTTCTAAGTGCCTTCCTATGTCACTGGTAATTTGATAGTTTCCTCCCCTTGCTATGGGAAGAAGATTTCCTCTCCTTGGTTAATAAGTGGACCCAAGCCTTTAACTCGAGGTTCAACTCTGAAGGTTATTGTTATATCTGCCTTACCTTCAAGATTTGTGAGGGACTAACACAAATCCAGTCAGCTATCTTAGGTCTTTTTTTTTTTTTAAAGATTTATTTATTTATTCATCCAAGAACCAGGGTACAGGCCAGATGTGCGGGAGGGTGAGAGGACTCACCAGAGACAAAGTGGGAAACAGAACAGGCACACTGATGAAACACACTACTGAGGGGAGCAGTGGGCGCAACAGGAGAGGTCTGCCGCGCCATGTGGGACCCTCACTGGCCGGCCAGGATCGAACCAGCACTGCAGAGGCTGTGGGCAGTCCCACAGCTTGGCGCTCAACCGCCTGCACCACCAAGGGAGGCCCTATCTTAGATCTTACAGTGTCAGAGCTAGGCCTCTTGGTCTTGCATTGCAACTCATCATAAATGCTACAGGGGTTTCTTGTTAAATGGTAGTAAGATTAGCCATATGTGGGCTAAATGCAAGCTGTTCTTCTTAAATAGGAATTCTGAGGCAGCCTGCCTTCCACCCAGAGAAGAGGGAATGCCAAAGACAGATAATATGTCGAGGCCTGAGGATGCTCAGGTCTAGGGGAGTTCCTCCCCATTGTGGGGACGTCCACAAAAATAAGATTACTCCCCTGGGGCACACCTGTGGCTGCTGCCACTCTGGGGGTACGCCCATGGCTGCCCCCACTCTCCGGGGGTACGCTGATGGCTGCCCCCACTGCATCTGTCCATGACAGGTTCAGGCTCTTTCAGGCACACATCCATGATGGGGTCTGCTCCCTCCATTCCTGTGGACTCGCCTCCTACATTCTTATAAATTTCCTGCTCTCACTCAACCTCACTATTTCTGTCAGGTTTTTATAACAATCTCTCTCATTTTGACTCTTTTTTGATCCCTTTCATGATTCTAAGACTCTGGGATAACTCTAGATAATTGCACTTATCTGTAGAATTTAATAAAGAAGCAAAGTAAGAAGAGAACAAACCAAAATGAACCCTTAAAATATGACTATAGAAACAAGGCTACCAGAGGGGCAGAGAGGAAGTGAAGTGCAGATGAGGCCCAGTGAATATGGTGCAGGATTATAGGGGCTTTAGTGGTGGGTGTGGTATAATAACGTACATTTTTTGAGGTGTGAAACTATATCCATAGAATATATACAGTGTTATAAATCAAATTTACCCCAATAAACATTAAAACATGTATTAATAAAGTCAGCTTCTTTCAAGACAGAAAGAAAAAAGGAAACCAATGGGGCAATAATTCATGAATGAATGAATGCCACACTGAGATACTAAATGGAAACGAAATTCAGAGCAGAACATTTCACAAAGCTCACATTACCTTAGTTTCAAAATCTACGATTTCGGATAATGTAGAACACGAATCATCAAAGTTTAGTTTCATGGGACGCCTTTAGAGATAAAATATACAACAAAAATTTCATTTCTACATTGAAAAATCAAGTGAAACTTCGGCTACCTACATGCTAAATCAATTTTCTTTATATAATTCAAATTTGGAATCAATTTATTTTTTTCAAAAAAAAACTTTTGTATCTATTTCTACCTCTATTTCCCCCAGCCTGTAAAATGTCCAATAAAATTCCATTCTTGTGCCCATAACAAAAAAATCAGAGCTTCTGAGAAAAAAGTAGTTCTTACAAAAAGTACTGATGGTTACATTGAAAATCCAATTAATAGATGGCATAACTTTTATTATCTGAACTACAATAAACCTGATAACCTAAAGAAAGAAGAAAGGTATACTGTTTCTTCTTCATAACCTGTCCTTGGTTCAAAGACCAATCTATGTCAGTCAAAAATGGCAGTCTTATTCCTTCAGCATGCAGACCACTTATTAGGATTCATTCCTTCCCTTCACTCTAAAATTGTATAGGGAGGTCCCTAAAATGTTTGAAAACTAAATGTACTGAAGTCAAAGAATAATTACTAATCTCAGAGAAATTAAAACATTAAAAATTATAAATTATGATTATTTTTCCTATATAGGTCCTGCCTTTTTCAGGTCCCCATAAACTGGCAAGCCTTTAAAAATGTTCATAAGTACTCAGATACCCAAGGAGAGAGACTACTGCAAAGACAATGTCCTGAGTTCTGCCACTATTTCCCTTGCATACAATTTAAATATCTCCCTTACTACAGGGCTCCCATTCCCCCACATCTACCAGGCTCAGTGGCAGTCTCCAACCTCTAAATCTTCAACCTATGACGGCACAGATTCCAGAAACAAGGCTGGGCTGGGCTCAAATGACCAAGAGTAGGTCATTTCCCTGCTGCTGGAAAATAAGCGAAACAAAGCTTATGCACTCACTACCAACTCAGGCCTGTGATCAAGCAGTCAGATGAGGCCCTGTGACTGACCTGACAGTCATCCTAGCTCCATGCAACCCTGCCAGCACATGGACAGGGACATCGGTGAAATGGAAAGAGAGGCCGAGACTAAGAAACACCTGCCTTAGGTGAAAGATCTGTGTAGGTTAGTAATCTCAACTACCGTGGTAGGTGTAGGGGATCTAAGGCAGCTTCTGTCACTTGGGGTGGAGGAGGATATCACAATCCTATTTTCTATACAGAGACACTTCCTGGTGGCTCATATTGTTTTTATGTGTTTTAATATAAATGAAGTATGCTAGTTCCCTCAATTCAACAAAAAAGCAGCAAACTATTTAACTCTCCTTTAAACTTTCTATTTAATATGCCTCTACCTAATATTCCCAACATACTTGTTCCTGTAGTTTCTCTTTATATAACTTGCATAAACCCCAATATTTTGTAACTCTTTTCTAAAACCCTTATTCCTATCAACTCGGTGGTGGTATTGAAGTTTGGCCGCCTCTGCTAATTCATTCTTATCTTCTTCCATTGTGTTCACTAGATCCAATTCCCACCTCTCTTTTATTAAAAACTCACCTAGAGACAATCTCTTTTAAAAAGGAAAAATCTGGGCCTCCCCAGTGGCGCAGCGGTTGAGCGCTGGGTTGCAAAGCTGCCCGCAGCCTCTGCAGCGCCGGTTCGATCCCTGGCTGCTCCCCGGCCACCGGAGGAGGGTCCCACATGGTGCGCAGACCTCTCCTGCTGCCCGCTGTTCCCCTCAGCAGTGTACTTTGGTCTTTCTGCCTGCTCTGCTCCCCGCTATGGCTCTGGTGAATTCTCTCACCCTCCCGCACTTCTGACTGTACCCAGTGCTTGTATAAATAAAAATAAATAAATCTTTAAAAATAAATAAATAATCCTTAAAAATAAATAAATAAAAAGGAACAATCTGAGTTTAAATCTCATTTTTGCCATATGCCATACCCAAAGAAATCAGTTTAATCTCTTTGAATTTCAATTATTCATTTGAACAGCTATTTGGCTCAGAAGATAAACACAGGGCATTTGATTGACTGAATCTCTAAGATTCTTTAAAATTCTGAAATTCTACATGCTTTTTGTTTTGCTATAGGAAATTGGAGAATAACTCCCTGGTAGACGTAGAAAAAAATAGAACAAAACAATCATCAAGAACAGCAGAGAAGAAATTAAAAAAAAAAAAAATCAAGAAAAGCTTATGGAACTTATAGAAAAGTTATGGAAAAAGAATAAAAGGGTATACCAAAAATGAAAAGACTACAGAGTACTAGCCAAGGCTACTAGCCTAATGATTACACCAAACTATGAAGTCACAAAGTATAGAAATCCATGAGAAATATCCTCTAAATAGATGCTGAGGTTAACATAAGCTGTTCTATAAACCACAGATCATCTTCACCTAAAGAAGAACAATTTACCTCAAGGACCATAAAATATCTTTACACCTAAGAAGACCTACATGATTGAGTCTTGCTGATGTAAAACCTGCAGTCTATGACCATAGCTGAGATCTACCCTAAAACTTTTGATGGTAAGTGCAAAGTTTTAGTTACCACTGCCATTGTTAAATGTATTGGGGCAAATGCTTGGACTAAGCCAGCTTCTTAGGGAAACCTGAAAATAAAAATTAGCACATAACTAAATTGAACTTTCTGAGTTGGTTTGCGTTGGGACTATATATTCATGCCAGAGCTGCACAAGTACCTAGGGACAAGAGAATGGACAGGGAAGCCAGGCAGGCTAATGGTCAAGTCATGGAGCAAATACCTTCTTAACTATGGAATCGTGGATGAACTAAATTTGCCTTACAAACCATCTAGTTTGTAAGGCATTATTGTCACATGCGATGCTTCCTGAAGCACAGTTGCCTAATTGGTAAAAAGTGGGCTGGAACAGCAGTTACTTTGCAAAGCTATTGAAACAACTATATGAGATAACAAATGGGAAGCACATAACACAGTGTCTAGCCTGAAATAAAACACTCAACGAATACTGATTGCTTTTCTCTGCATTCCATCAATTGAGACATTTTTAAAATCTGTAAAATCCTACCTCTTAAGAGTGTCCTTGTGAGAATTCTTTTTTGCTAGTAAAGAAAAAAACACATTTTAATCAACAGCAGAAAATGTATAGAATATTAAGAGTATAAGACAGCTAACAAATATTCCTTAGGGACCAACTTGGAGACAATACTAGAAAAGAACTCTTGGGCTCCCCCCTCCTTTATATTTATGAACAGCAAGACATCTGATATCACTTATCAAAGTATATTTGATGACATTTAGTACCAACAGTGAATTGCTATTTACAGTGAGCATAATTCTAGTCAAACCTATAGGACTGACACAAAATGGTATCATTAGCAGAATCAGCATCATAAACTGACAATGTCAAACCTAAATAGCATGATTCTTCTGGATAGCCACCAATAGAAATACTTAGAGGAGAGTAAAATAATTTTGCTGTGACATAACACAACTTCTCCAGGTTTTCAGACAACACCACTTGGTTTACATTAAAACATGGACTATGATGGAGGACTATGGGTGCTTTGGTGGCAGGAAAACTATAGTGACCACATCTGAGAGAAGAAAACCTACATTGTGAGAAAACAAACAAGGATGTAAAGTAATGATATGTCGTCAATTTAAAAAAACAAGGAAACTTGGTCTAGAGACACTATACAATGCAGCAGGAAAAACAGGAAACACTTTCAGACTGTGACTCTAGTTTGATAAAGTACAGCCTGTGGAGACTATCTCCTTCCATAAATAGTCTCTCTGGATATACTTCATAGAGTAGGATGGTTCAGTTAATGCTGCCTAGTAGTGAATGATGTCATATTTCTCAACCCTCCCCATTATACATCCAACATTTACAGAAATTAGGATTTTTAGTTTGTAAGCCATTACTGTCACATGCTATGCTTATGAATAGCAGCAAAAACCATAAAGAACAAGGAAATCTTAAATGCAAACATTTTAAGCTGTATGATATGATCTACTGTACGATATGATATGATATGATGTGAACTGTAAGCTGTATGATATATGATATGTAAGCTGTATGATATATAAGCTGTATGATACTGTAAGCTGTATGATATGATATGATATGATATGAACTGTATGATATCAAATATATGAAACTGTGTGATACCATATATATGAAATTCTGACAAAGGCATAACTATGGAGACAGTAAAAAGATCAGTGGTTTCCAGGGGTTAGAAAGAAGGGAGAGAGGAGTAGACAGAGCACAGAGGATACTTAGAGCAATGCAACTATTCTGTATTCTGTAAAATACAACAATTGTGGATCCATGTCAATATACATTTTTCAAAATACATAAAATACACAGCACTGAGAGGGAACCCTAGTGTTAAAATTAATTATGACTTCTGGGTGACAATGATGAGTCAGTGTAGACGCACACATTTTTATAAAGGTACAACTGTGGTGCAAGATGTCAACAGCACATTTGGCTGCACATGTGTGGGAGCCAGGATATACAGGCACTCTGTACTTTCTGCTCAGGTTTGCTGTAAACCTAAACCTTTTCTAAAGACTTTTTTTCCCAAAGGGTTTCCTCTGACCTGCTACTACCACATAATAATTTATCAAGGCACAGTCACTTCAAAAATGAGAATAAAGTAAGCAAATACGGGTATTATCTCCCTAGCTGATGTACATGATTATATATAAAATAAGCTCTTTTAATTTTAAACTTAAGAGGCAAAATCTGATAAATATTATTGACTATGTTGTTTTCTAATTACAATGGGATTCAGCATCATAAGAATCAAATTAGATCATCTGCCTAATAAGCAATTTTTATTTTAATTTTAAATCAGAACTTGCAATGCTTATTTTGTCTCAGAATTATCCTGAGAGAGTAAGAGAATATAAAGAATACATTGTAATTATCTGTAATAACCACAGTAGTTTCTGTATAAATATCTGTTAAGCACTCATCAAAAATCAAAAATGTAACCAGCACTGTAATTTAAGGTGGATGATGCAACTGAAACTAATACTATGTTATATCTTTATATTGCCTATTAAAATAAAATTTTAAGATAAAGCCAAACATTAAGGTTAGCATAACTACTAGAAAGATTTCAGGCAGTGAGCCTGAGACTGCTCTCCTTAGAAATTCCTCCTTGAAATGGCTGACCCTTGGTGGGTGTCTGGGAAAGTGGATTTGGGGAAGGTTCCTTCTATTCTCCAATTGTGCTAAATTAGGAGTACAAGCAATGTGGTTTCTGCTGAATATTTGCTTTCTTTCTGGGGAAGTGGAATTTCAGTACATGCTAGGGAGAGGATGTCTAGGCTACAGCAAAACACTGGAGCACTGGGGCTGGCAGACACCCACTTTACATGTGCTGTCATATTTTGAGATGGAGGAACTAGGCACATTCTGAGAATGCCACAGGGAAAAGACACTTAAAACTTGCACCTGTTTTCCTTCAGAGTTTGCCCCAGACACCTTTTCACTTTGCTGAGTTTTCCTTGCATCCTTTCACTATAATAAATCACAAGCATGAGGGGCCTCCCCTCCCCAGGGGCACAGCGGGTTGAGTGCAGCACTGTGAAGCTGTCCACAGCCTCTGCAGTGCCAGTTTGATTCCTGGCCAGGAAGGGAGATTCCCACATGGCACGGCAGACCTCTCCTGTCCTGCCCGCTGCTCCCCTCAGCAGTGTATTTCAGTCCGTCTGCCTGTTCTGCTCTCTGCTCTGTCTCTGGGGAATTCTCTCACCCTCCTGCACCTCTGGCCTGTACCCCAGTTCTTGTATAAATGAATAAATGTTAAAAAATCAATCACATGCATGAAAACTACTATATGCTGAGTCCTGCCAGTTCAGTGAATAACCCGAGCTGGTGTGGTTAGGGAACCTCTGATACAACCACATGAAATGAAATTCTTGTCTTGAGGGTTGATATGTCAGACATAATTACTGTCCAAATGATATTTCACAGAATACCTTTACTTGAATCTGTGCTTGATCCTGGTCCTGAAAATGTGTGTACTTCTGTCCATTCAACTAAATGCATAAAAGATACAGATGAAACAAGGATATCAGGAAATAATATGAAACAAGTAACAACTCTATATTAAAAAGAATTTAAAAATAACGAATACTGATGAGTGACAATATGTTCTATAGCATAAAAGTTCCTGTAAAGAAAATGAAAGGCTCACATAGTCAATTTTCTTCAACTAAGCAGGGTTTATTTAATTCCTCTTTATAATAGTTGTGACACCAACAGGTAACTGGAATAATTATGTAAAAATAAAACTATCACATATGTATAATAACATACTGATTATAGAATACTGATTTCTAATTCTTCCCTTGATTTCTTATAAAACCAGAAACATAGTTTAGGGGCCTCCCTGGTGGTGCAGCGGGTTAAGCGCAGCACTGTTGTAGAGCCTCTGCAGCACGGGTTTGATTCCCATCCAGTCAGGAAGATTCCCACATGGCGCAGCAGGCAGGCCTCTCCTGTCTCACTCGCGGCTCCCCTCGGTAGTGTCTTTGGTCCATCTGCCTGTTCTGCTCCCCGCTCTGTCTCTGGTGAATCCTCTCACCCTCCCACACCTCTGCCCTGTACCCCAGTTCTTGTATAAATAAAAATAAATCTATAAAAATAAACATATTTTAAAACAAGTCCTATTTGTTTGAATGTGATTAGAGGAAATATATACAAACTTAAATTTTAAGAACTTTTTTTTGGAAAGGCAATACTGTCTCAGATTTCAAATGACTACATGTAATTTCTTTAATTGTGAAGAACAAAGCAATTAAGAAATTTTAAGTATACAGGCAATTTGTACATCTTTTTCATTGCTCTTTCATTATCAAAATTCCTGTATTCTTATTTTTTCCTCTGTGGTAGCACCACCAAGAGTAATTCACTATCTGAAGTCTTACCTAGATCATTCTCTTCCTTCTTTTTATCATTTTCCTTCATTTCTTCCTTTTCGTTCTTTTCATTCTTTTTGTTCTGTTTGTCCTTTTCACTTTTATGGTCAAGTATTATTTTGTGATTGCTATATGTAAAAAAAGGAAATTAATAAAATTGCTAATTTTAATACTTATGTGAATGTTGAGAGAAACCCTGCACAGTGAGCAGAAGGGTCTTGACCTGAGTCTCTAAGGCATGTGAAAACACATGCATCACGGAGGAAAACCTCTGAGTGACTGGACCTGCTGTTGAGTGCCCCGAAAGTGATCTGTGTAGAGTCATGCCTCAGTATCTCCACAGCCAAGAAACAATTAGGAGCAAAACTCCTCTGCTCTAGCTAATGAGCAATCAGATTACATATAGGAGCTGACCACCTGGCACTTAAAAGTCGAGAGTAGGCAAATATCAGCAGCAAAATAAAATAGTTAATCATTTCAGCTGTCATTTTATGGTGCACATTGATGTTATGCCTAATGCACTCTGAGAAAGTATATAATGAGCACTAAGACAATAAAGATTCACTGCATGCTGGACATGACAGTCCCCCATGTCTGATTTCCCTCACCCTCATGTTGCAGGTCCAGGATTCAATAGAAGTCCACATGTGAACAACATTTTTATTCTTAGAATATTTCAGGTAATAACAGAGAATATCAAAACTTTAATTATCCCACACACTTCAAATGTGTAAGAGCTACAATTTGTTTTTAATCAAACAGGTAACTTAAGAGATTAGAGTTAGATTAAAATATGGAAAGCATCTTTATGTCAAGTTTCAAATAGCCATCTGATCCTGGACAAACCACTTCCCTTTGGCTCCCTTTTCCCCTCTAAAACAGATATCTGGCTGTCCCATTCACAGAGTTATTAGGAAATTTAATATACCCACCACACCCCAAAAACAACAAACAAACAAACAAAAAAAAACTAATGCTCAGAGAAATACTGAAGCAATGAAATAATTTCTTTTTGAACTTTACTGGTAGAACTTGGGATACCAAACTTCATTAAATGTGTGCTTTTTTTATAGTTCTAACAACCAAATGTTATATTTTGGCTAGTGAATGGCTCTTCCCCTGGGGCTTAGAATTCAAAGGCATCTCAGCTACTATAGAATTTGTAACTATATTTATAAATATATCACCTCATTAGATAACATAATTTTCCCCCATAACCAATCACATGAAGAACAGAAAACTAAAAATTCAAGCCTGGGTTTGACTAGTTCTATTCCTTTTCTACCTCTTCAAATTCATAATTAGTAGATCATCCTTAGAATGATATATAATCCCCAGGTTCATATCCAACTTACCTGGGATACACAACCTGCTTTTATAATACATGGAAATTGAAGAGTCACAGATGGGGTTTAGCTTTCCTAACAACCAACTAACCATTCCACTGAATTACCTCCTTGTGAAGGAGATTCTGAAAAATATTTGAAACTTCACACAGATACAAGTCACTTGGGGGGTTTTCACTATTATGAAAAACAGATCATTTGAGGGATCAACCTTAATCAACCAGTTAGCACCCACTACTCTGAGAAGGACAATATGGCACTTTCCACAACTTATAAAAATTGTCCCACAGGATGTAAAGCAGCTTTGGGGTACAGATCTGGTACCAAAAGAGAAAGGATAATCTTAGCACTTCCTGCACCACTGCTTCAACTTCTCTGATAGCTGAGATTGGGTCCAAATAATATCTGCTAACAAAAAAGACAGACAAGACCCTCATAGGGTAATTCATGGTCAAGGTGTAGGCTAAGTTTCTGAGTGGGGAATAAGGGTATGTGTGGCTAAAGCTTGGAGGGGGGGCCGCAAGAACATAGTGGCTGAGCATATGACTATATGTATATGAACTAAAGAAAGTCGTGACATTGAAGTCCTAGTGGAAATCACCATGGAGATGGAGGAATCTGATCAGCAGAGGCATCCTGGGAGCAATGGTCAATAGTGACCAGACTACAAGAGCAGTTTCAGGAGCAACACTGCAGTAACAGAATCAATGGGGACAAAAAAATGATCAGCATGCCATTCACCATTTGCCCTCCATGAAACTTGTGAAAAAGAACTGTCTCTCATGGATTTAAAGAATGTGTTGCTTAGGTTCTTAGAAAATTCAAGGGGGAAAGATAGGCAATAGCATCTAAGGGGAAAGTATAGGATTTTTTGATAAAATGAACTTTTCAAAATGCAAATAACTAGTCAGAAAAATCAGACATGTGACGGGATTTTGTGACATGATTTTGTAGAGTTTTGCTGGAATGAAGTGGATCACATCAGAATCCCTAAGGATAAAGATCGAAAAGTGCCCACTGCTACTCCCAACTAGTCTAGTCATGGCTTGGTTTCTGGCCGATGCTGTGGACTACCGCAATGCCATTCCACAACTGCCTACCCAAACTATGAAATCCCACCTGTTACAGAAGAAGCAGCAGTTAAATTCTTTTAATCCTCAGGTTAGTGATAGCTAACATTTTAATGTAAACACTTACTTAATATAACCATGAAGAAGAGCATACTGGTCAGCAGTCCTTCCACCCCGATCTTCAGAAGAGCAATCAATGCCATGCCGGAGGAGAATATGAATGACCTCTGGTGAATCATGGCATGCAGCAAACGCGAGGGCTGAGCTAAAATAGCAGAGATAACTTCACCCTTGGGAACTTAAGTTACTTAGAGAGCTACTTGGATCTATTCTACGAAATTCATCCCTTGCCTGTCTTTCTAGAGTTGACCATTTACGTGTGCAAGTATTCATCTCTGTAACTTAACTTGAAGGCTAAAAGGCGGCATCGTGTCCCATTGGGACCCATCACAGTAGAAGCCGCTAATTTAAGGCCCTTTGATGGACAAGAAACAATGCCAAGATCACTTATCTGAAATAGGTGAAGCTCTGAATGAATTATTTTCCATTTCTTCCTTAGTCTGTTGTTATCAGTTAAAGGTTAGGTAAGTAAAAGTTATTTGCAAGCTTAAAACAGTGATATTGATAATAATGGTAACAATACTCATAGCTGCAGTTAATGATGCTGATAATGCATTGCTAAGCATCAAATTAAGTGCTATATCAACAATCTTACACAAAATGATCCTCAAAAGATATACAGTTGACCTTTGCACTTTGTAGGGGTTGGGGTGCTGACACCCAGCACAATGAAAATCCATGCTTTTGAACTCCCCCAAACTTTAACTACTTATAGACTGCTATTGACTGGAAGTCTTACTGATACCATAGACAGTTGATTAACACATCTTTGGTATTTCTTTACATTCTTACCATAAGGAAAGCTAGAGAAGAGAAAAAGTTATGAAGAAATTGATAAGATGCATTCACAGTATTGCAGTATATTGAGTGATAGCGTAAGTTTACTCCCACCCCTTCTGCTCACTGCAATAGAAACAGGAGGTAGACGTTAAATTATTAGTCAGTCATTAGTATATATTAGTCAATTTTATGCTCTAATGATTTAAAACTGCATCTTTACATTGGTTCACATTTTCTTTGATTAAGAATGCCGCACATGCACAGTCTGTACACACAGATGGTGTACAGTGTGTAAGTATTAACAAACTTTTATTTTTTATAAGAGATTTGTATAAAATTTATGGTAGTAAATGATAAAACAGACTATTATCTATATGTAATTTATGCATTCATGACATATCTAACTTTTTCTGAATATTTTCAATATTTCAAGGCTATAGTTTGTGAGTTTTTCAAGTTGTGCTGTTCAGGTGTCAATTGTGCTATTATCTTCCTTTTCATATGAGGAGCATATTGGCTGATGATAAGCAATGTTCCTAAGGTCACACACCTAGCAAGTGGCAAAGATAGGAATTAAACCCAGGCCTGTGGAATCTAAAACACATCTCTTCTCTGTCACCTACTTATGAATTTTCTTTATAAAGAAGAAACTTATTCTTTATAAAGAAGAAATTTCTTTCTTACTTCCACCCATATCAATTGAAAGTAAAAGCAGGAAAATAAACTAGAAGTGGCAAAGGAAAAAACCAATGATCCTATAGTATCTAGTAATAGTAATTAATATTCACATAGGGATATAAGCTAATATAATTAGTAATCTTCAAAGAAAGCAATTTATAACAAGTATTATCCAAAAAATAAAATCAACCTTTCTTTATGTCTAATATGCATCTTTTAAGGAAAAAATATTGAAATGGAAAGGCTAAAGTCGTATTACTAGAAGGATTTGCAATTTCAGGTTGGTGTCATATACTAAACTAAAAGTTAGACTCCACACTTCACAAGACTAATAAACCAACAGGAAACCATGTGAGGTAACATAAGGGCATACAACCGAAAGAATCAGATTGTGTCATCAGCTAACATAAGAGCTATGAATCCTGCTATGTTGTTCTTCATATTACACAGTAAGAATAACTGGTTTTCCAAGGGCAAGTCCTAGGAGTCTGACTGTGGAACTGATGTGCCAGTGGGGGATGGAGGGAAGTGTGTAGATTCCCAGTGTGGGAGGGTGCACAATGGATATGTGGGAGGGTTGTGGGTGTTATAGTGGTGGTTGTGGCATAGTAACATACATCTGAATAGGTGGGATCCTTTACTTCTGAATTCTATACAGTGCTGTACACTAATGTTGCTTTAATAAATGTGCACTTGTGTGCACACACACACACAATTAAAATATTTGGGGAAAAAAGAATTGGTTCTCTTCCTAACAGGACATGTTGATATTAATAATTAAAACCCATGTGCTTCTTATTTAATTTAATCTTTCTGGTTTCAGTAATTGTTACCACTCTAGAACCACATAAAATTTAAAATACATACCTTCCAAACCTATCAACAGCATTTATATTTGCTCCCTTGCTTAGCAAAAACTCTATTAATTTATTTTTTTTTTGACTCACAGCATATAAAAGTGGTGTATATCCAATCTGTAAACAACAAACACAATTTATGGTTTACAAAATCACATATTTTAAACTGAATTTTAAAACTTAAAAGAGATCTCCTGAACTCAAACCTAGAAGAAAAATCAATTTAAAAGTAACCCCTTCCTTCTCACCAGTCACTTCATATGTGCTGTTCTTTCTCTTTAAAATACTTCTTTCTCTAGCCTCAACAGATGCAAAGTTATTGTCCAACACTCTTGTCAAGAATTTCTTGGTCCCAAGAATCTTGCTTCCACTACAGAATTTACATGGTATACTTTAGTTATTTTATTCCTCACCATCTAAACCAAGAATTTCTTGAGGCCATAGGATGCTTGTTTTTTTTAAGCCCTTGTAGGGTAAAGAAAATGTCAGGCTTTTCTGCCCTCCCACCATCAGGACAGATGATGGATCCTTGAGGTCCTGAATGCATGCCTGATGGCGGGCACCTGGAATAGGATGTAGGCAGATGTAGAAGGGATTCACCTGGGCTAAGACTATGCTTTTTTAAGGGCGGCATCACGGGGACGCGAGCAGAAGCCAAGAAGCTGAGAACGAACAGAAGCCGAGAGAAGGCCGGAGAGCCCACGGAGTGAAGACCTGCTGGGGGCTGGGAGGCCTGCCAGACTCCCGGCCCCCCAGCACCCCAGCCTGCCATATGCCTGGTGAACCCCAATAAAAGACCTGCAAAACCCCTGAGGGCTCCAGAACTCCTCCTTTACCCGGTCTGCATGGGATCCTAGAAAACCTGCCCTGTGTCCAGTCCTGACCTGCAGCCCTGTATCTCCAAATTCTGAAACAGTAATAAATGCTTGAACCATTTTTTATTGAATTAATAATCTCAATGGTCATCTCTGGAATAGTGGTTCTTAACTTATAGTCCAAATAACCTACTTTTGGCAGAAGTTAAGGACTATGCTCCACTAGAAACATTCCATGATCATTTACTGCTTTAGAAAATTACAAAACATTACATGTCCAGTTCTAAAAAAATCTGTATAACTTTGCTGAATCCCTTTTGAACAATACTTTCTTGTGACAAACATTAACATTTCAGGAATTAAGAGTTCCAGGGATCATTTTGAGAATTTTCTACTAAAGGTGATGGTTTTCTTCCAGTAAGGCACATTTTTTTTTATTCCTTTTATTTTTTCTCTTTTTTATTTTTATTTTTAATATTTTATTTTATATAATTCTTACATCATTTTTCATTTTTGCACAATTTATGCATTTTAATTTTGGTTATATTCCCCATACAATTGCACCACCCCATTATTTTGACCCTAATCCTTCCTCTCCCCGCCCCTCAGCACCCGTAGTGTGTCTCTAGTTTATAGTTGCTTGTTGATTTTGTTTTTTACTTTGTATTAATTAGTCTTTTTCCTGATCCCTTATTTAGGCTTTCTAAATTCTTGCTGAGTGAGACCATCCAGTATTTTTCTTTTTCTTTCTGACTTATTTCGCTGAGCATGATGCCTTCTAGCTCCATCCATGTTGCTGCAAACTGCATGTGTTTATCTTTCTTGATTGCTGAGTAATATCCCATTGTCTATATGACTGGATCAAGAAGATGTGGTACATATGCACAATGGAATATTACTCAGTGAGGCACATTTACTTGGTTCTCTGCTATCAGTGGTACCTGGCACCCTGATGTCACTATCCGGCAATCTTACTTCACTTGGATTACTAAGGACATGGGCTCTGAATTAAAAAAAAAAATAGGCTTCAAATGAGTTCTGATTGCTTATTACTAAATGGTCCTTGGGTTGCCCCTATTAGAAGATGGAACTTTTTTATCTTACCTTAGTAAGAGAAAATTCAGTTTTTAAAATTCACTTTTAGTCTGGTTTTCATTTTCATTGCCACTGAAAATTATTTTCTTTTTTTAGAAGTATGGGGACCAGAAATAAAAATACAATGTCCTCTATATGTTGAGAATTTGGCAAAAAAAAAAAACACAGAATTTTCCTTTACCAAATAAGAATTATGATTTGTAAACCCTGAAGAGCATCTGAGTAAATATAAACTAAAGGGGGAAAAACAGCTCTTCCCTCTATTGGCAATTACCCTCAATAGCCAAATTTCCAAGTTAGCCCACGTGTTTATGATTGCTCTCTTCCTTTTCCCTTTTCCCTCCTCAGGCTTGGCCAGAGAGAGAGAAATCATTTTATGAAAAATATTGTTTATGAAGCAAAAATTCATCATCAGCAGCAGACTTCTTTCATATTACTTTTGTTTTTGAGTTTTAAAATAAAGACTATTTCCCAGGCAAATTTTGTTGTCCTGTGTTTTCATTATTAGGAAAAAAATACTGGGTTGAAAATAAAATTTTTAAAAATAACCTTTAACCAATTCAGTGCACAAATACTTGGCAAACACCCCTATAAAAATGCTAAGCCCCTCTACTGTATCTTTTAGACACATTATTATTTAAAGTGGAATTTTAGACAATTATTTAAAACCATTTTCATTCAGGGAGTGCTCGACCCTCCAATATGTACATGTGACCCACCTATGTCAGGGCTGTGGTTACAGAAGGTAATGTATGTCCAGATGGAAAAGCAGATCGAATGACTTCCCTTTCACCTGCTCCCCTGTACAGCTATGCCCCACTGATGAGCTATGCAAGAATGAGCAGGACTTCTTGCTGCGGGGAGCCCACAGTGGTTCAGAGCTGGCAGCATAGTGAGCAACACACGTGGATGCCCTTGTTCGATGTCAAGACATGACCTGACCCCTTGCCCTGATTTCGGAACCTAGGGTGCTGGGCCCTGACAGCCTGCTGCTTCTCTCCGTGGGTAACCATGCTGGCTGTGGCGTCTCAAGTCCCCCTTGTACCCAGCCTAGTAGCACCCATTTCTTGGACCCATGCAGAGTACCTAGCACCTATCATGTCTTCAGTCTTTCGTGGGTGCTGAGCCTACACCCACTGCCAGGCACTAAGGAAAAGTTTTTCCAACAGGGGTGCATACGTGATGCAGTGACAGACTTTTGGCCTTTCCATGGGCACCATCGTTCTCTAGATCTCCCTGACTTGGCACAGAGTTGTGGTGATAGGCCCTTGTGTATAGTCTTCAGGATAATGTATGCATGCATACATATCAGAGAGATATAGATAATAAAATGTTTTGTGGCTTAAAAAATGCAGTTCCTATGTTTTGTAAAAAAAAATTACTTGGTCTATACCTTGTTTTGTAACTCAATATTTGCTTTGTGTAAAAGCAGCTTTGTTATTATGGACTCATTTTCATTTTGAACAGCATAGTGGAGCGCAGAGTTGCCATCAGCGTCCAAAATATCTGGATCAGCACCATGTTCTAGAAGAATACGTACACATTCTTCTTCCTGGTTTTGTACTGCCTGTCAGTATCACACAAAGAAATAGTAAATTCTAGGAATTAAGGTTAAACATTTTGTAGGTTTTGGCAATTAGCTAACTTAAATGAGGTTAATGTACTAAATTCATTTCCAGTCAAGTAAACTAAGTCAAATCCATCCCATGCTGGTTGAGTTGGCTACCACATACCTTCACCAGAGCTGTCCTGTGCGCGGCATCACACAGGTTAAGGTTGCATTTTCTCTCTGCAAGCAGAGTGACCACTGCACTGTGACCATGGGCTGCGGCCAAATGGAGGGGAGTCCTATGAGAGTTAAAGGCACCTTTAGGAAATCATAGTGCAAGATCTCAAATACACCACTACTCTTGGAGCTATAAACATGAATGAGCTAGTTATTCCAATGTCTCCACAACATCATTTTCTTGGGGAAAAGGACATTTATTAGCTCTTCTCACTCACCACATTAATGAAAGAGCAGCCTGTTTGAATAGAAAAGCTTGACCGTTGGAGTCAGTACCACTGGACTTGAATCCAACTTTACTCTGTCACTTATCAGCTGTTTTATCCTTTCTATGCTTCAATTTCTCTTCAGTGAAAGGGGGATAAAACAGTCCTTGTCTCACAGAACACTGTGATGATATTACATGAGACTCTATGCAAAGTGTTCAGAATAGTCCCCAGCACAAAGAGCAACTCAATCTTATTAGATAATATTACTCGTATTACCACTAGCACCACTTTGTGAAGGCAATAACTCAATTAAATAAAATGATTCAAGTACACCAACTTTGAAGGTATATTTAGGTTTAGAGGGAGAACTGTCCTTCATTGATTCTAAGATGCTCCCAGCTTCTCACATTTAACCTCCTGACACTGGAATGCATAAATGTATAATTCATAATGTCTCATAACCATAATTAACAGCATTTAAAAAAGTCTCATTGCTACATCAAATAGTGGGGTATCACATCATCCACAGTATGGCACACTAAGTGAAGTATAGTATAAACAACAGGTCTGTTGCAGTTCTACTCATATGCTTGGCAGTTAAAGAAACTGTAATTGTTTTTATTTTTTTTCTTTACATGCATGCTTTATTCTATGTACAACAAACATTTTTTGCTTCCTCATTTTGTCCTTTCAAATTTCATGAATTATATTTAAAGCATTAAGAGGCAAGAGAACTAAGCAAATAATTTTAAAATGATTCTTTTTAATTTTTTTAATTATTTATTTTTTACATCATTGTTCATTTTTAAACAATATTTGCTTTCCCCTCCCCAGGTGTAGTCCCCATAGAATTTCCTTCACCAATGCACCAGTGCATCATCACCACAGGCCCTTGGGTTCCTCCCTCCCACCCTCTGATCCCTCTCCCTCCTCCTCCCCTGCAGGATACCTCTGGCTTAAAATTATCTGGTTTTGTTGTGTTGTGTCAATAATCAAAAATGATAAACTAATTTTTGGATGGAGATGGAAAGAATTATGCTCAGTGAAATAAGTCAGAAAGAAAAAGAAAACCATATTGGATGGTTTCACCTATAGGAGGAATAGAGGGGACCCAAATAAGACATCAGTGTAAAAAATAGTAACAGTATAAAAAATGATTCTTGCTGCAGGGGGCATTGTTGCCCCAGCCAGATAGGATACTGACAAACAGCTAAGAGAAAAGGCCTTACACTGTGGGGCTGAAGATCTGGCATAACTTTGTTTTTTGTTCTTGGTCATAGAGAGAGAAAAATTTATCAAAAAGTATATTAGGCAATAAATTATATGTATCAGCATACTATAAGTAAATAGCACGGAAAATTGTTTGTTTAGAAATTAGTTGTTGGGCAGCTTGGCCCACTTGACAATGGGAGACGGTTTGTTGTGCATGCCCGACAAGCAATCCAGCACAACAATTGTAGTGGGTCCTTCTTTTGCCTTCTCTAGAAGTTTCTTGGGAAAGTTTTTAAAAGAATCTATTTGAGTTAGGAGTTTCTAAATAGAAAAAAGTTCTGATAGCTGAGTAGCAGCCGGTCCCCAGCTGAAGGCCATGAGGATAAAAGGAGTCTTTTCTTGCTTAGGCTTTGGCTGATAGGGAGGTACTGGCGGCTATCAACTGTCTTAGGTTATTGTTTAGCTGAAACAATGAGTTTTAGTGAAAGGCTTAGTTTTTTATTAACCTTGAAGGTTGCCTTCTTACTGAGAGCAGGTAGAGGCCAAAAGCCCATAGAAAAAGAGATGCACTGATTGTTTGTGTTTTGCTTCTATGCACATGATAATGTAATCTCACTGCTTGCAAAAAATGTATAAATAAAAACCTGCTGAGCCTCTCGGCAGAAGATACTAACACCTCACCTAGTGTCGGTGTCTCCTCATTCTACCTCATCCCCTTCCCCTCAGTCCTTTTGTTTTCGCCAAGGACGTCTCATCCTTTCAGCAACCCTGGACATGACATTTTGCCACAGGCTGGTGCCAGGCAGATTCTTATTACAAATTTTCAAGAAACTTTAGGCCAAAAGAAACTTATGATTCCTATGAATAGAAATGGCTTATTTTATGCACTATTTTTAGTGGTAAATGCTGTGGAAGTCAGTATGCCAATTATGACTATTAGTATTCAATCTTATTATACATTTTCAAATAGGCAAGTAAAGATTATCTTTTATAATTCCCTGCTTTTAGAAATACTTTTGTTTCCAAGGAGGCAGGAAAAACTTCCACTGAGAATAGGTGATAATTCATTACTTCAGTTTGAAATTTCTCACCTTGCTCAGACTGGCCTTGTAGCTTTTAAGGATAAAATATGTAGAATATTTCTGCTATGTAATGATGAACAAAATTGGGTTGAATGAATGGATAAATACAGCTGGAGACTTCAATATGTGTATGATTTAATCTCCATTACTGTCCCTGGGAAAGTCATTACTCAAGTAGCAACCTTTCAAGTAGTGTAAACCAAGTCTACCTATGGGCTAACACTAAAGGCTGGGGAGTCAGTATAATCAATTTGAACAACCACCAGCTACAGCATCTAAGAGAGCTGAGGCTGCCACTTATTCAATGCTTTAAAAAAAGAAAAAAACTTTTAGGAAATAAAGCAAAATATTTGCTATAACAATAATCATCACTGACAATTATTTGTAACAATAATAATAGTAATTGTCATCATGTATGCCTACTATTTATATTTTCATAAATACGCCAGTAAAATAACATGACTGATCTATAATTGTTTATAAAGTTATTTATAATCTATCTATTTAAATATGTACATAATAATCAGCAAGTAAATATAAAAAGATTCACTTTACTCTTGAAGAGGCAAAATAAGTCAGTAGATACCAATCCTCAAGAAAATGTTTAAAAAATGAAAAAAGAAAATATTTTTATCTGTGGAACATCCATATTCTTGCGGTTCTCTGCAATACTTCATTTATAATAAATTTATACTAGAATGTGTATACATGTTCACTGCAAAATAACAGATTTTTTAAGTGTTAGTTATAATGCAGAAGCTCAGAAATAAAAATTGGATCACATTTTGCACAAATTTTCAACTAACAGATTATACTGGGATGTATTTATTATCAAATGACGCTTTTCCTCACTAAATTGTCTCCCAATGTACATCTTTGCTACTCAACATATCTGTCTTTGTCACTTTCTATGGTAACAAATGATCTCATGAATGTAGTGGTTTATTTACATAATCCATTGCATGACTCCTACCGAATACACTATTTAAGCAGTGCTGAGAAAAAATAATTGCATGTTACAGTTCTCTACTTCCTAAAAATATTTTACAATGAAGTTAACTAATGGGTAAAGAACTACGTAATATTAAATGTGGTACTTGACACCTAATTGCCTTTTTGAAAAGGGAAAACAGATTGAAATGTGAGCCACAGAGTAAGTGCCATTGTGTGACATCCCCACAAACACAGTAGATTGGAAATTATTTTTTGACTCTTCCATTACATCAACTCCTTTACCACCTGGTCCAAACTGTTTGTTCCACTGTACACTGGTCACTTGCACTATTGCAAAACGTCCAATTTCAAATTAGAAGTTTCCTTTTAGTTGATTTAAAAAAAACTATTCCTGTTTTTAAACAGGAAGAAGATAAATTTTTATCTTATATTTTAAAAAAAAGTTGTAAGCACATGGTCCAATTTATTTTTGATAATAATATTCTTTGGATAAAGAGAGGGTTTTCATTTTTTATGTTGCTAGGTTGATCTCAAAATTCTTCCTTTGAAAGGCATTCTTAAAGTAACTGTCAACATCAAAAACATAGCAGAAGATCTGGTAATAAACACACAACCACAACACAGATGTGTGCATGCACATGCACACACGCGTGCACACACACACATGCCAAGGTAGCTGGACCAAGTTCCCAGGTATGGGGCCTCCCCTGCTGGCACAGTGGTTGAGCACTGGGCTATGAAGCTGCCTGCAGCCTCTGCAGCGCCGGTTCGATCCCCGGCCACGGGCGAGGGTCCCACATTGTGCGACACTGCTTCCCTCAGCAGTGTACTTCTTCATCAGTCTGCCTGTTCTGCACCCCGCTCTGGCTCTGGTGAATTCTCTCACCCTCCCATGCTTCTGACTGTACCCAGTGCTTGTATAAATAAATAAATAAATCTTAAAAAAAAAAGTCCCCATGTATGCGCTATGGGTGGGAAGGTCCACACTTATGCTTCAGCTTGTACCCTAGAAAGAATCTTCAGGGAGCATGCTATTGATCTAATCCAAAACCAACCATGGAGAAGCCCTGCCCACAACATGGCAGTGCGCCCAGATTGACCCCTCTCCTAAAAGCATCTGTAGAAAAAAAGAGGGGAGGCGTAATAAGCTTCTGGAAAATCCAGACTCTTTGGTCAGACATCAGAACATCTTCAGGGAGATCCAAAGCCTGAGAAGGATACCAGCCATAGCCCAGTGCCAAGCAATCAGTGACTCACCTACATTGGAGACCTCTGGAGACACCCCACAGGTAAGAAACTGTGACCCCAATGAGGCCACCAACAGCACAGAACCCTGGAGACCCCAATCCTGGGCTCTCAGCACTCTCACCTGCATCCTCAGAGACCCTCAGACACCACACCAGTGAGAAAGTGGGACCCCCAACACCTGCAACCTGTGTTCCAAGAGAGGAGGAACAAAAGTTTGGAAGCAATGGGAAAACAATGAATCATCTAAGAAGTTGAGTTCAGAAGGTGAAACAAACTAAGTTCGACAGGATAGCGTGCACTGAGCAGAGCAGGGGCTCCTGCAGGTCCCAAGCCTCTGATTGGGAAATGAGCTGAGCC